CTTCCTTACTGGGAATTCTCCTCTCTACAAGTTCTCTGTTACTGCTGCTTTCATTTCATTGCTGCTAGGCTAATCTGGGGGGGTGCGGGTGTGTTTGTAACAGCGTTCCCTGATGCTGGAGCTCCTTATCCAGTATTAGCTGCATAAAGGCGTGTTGGGTTGTATGTCACCTTATTTGTCTTTGCTGAAACACCTGTATTCAGTGATTAAAGTTAGTTTCTTTTCGGCTGTTGCGAGGTATAGATATACATAAACAGATGCCGCGTTAGGTCCAGCCAGACACATCAACAGCACTGCCATTTTGGGGCGGTCAGCATTGCTGCTGGATTGCATTCAGTACCATTACAGAGCAGCAGTGTAAAGCCCTTGGGAACCTAAATCTGAGTTTTCTTTCTGATTAGTTAGTCTGGGTGCCCAGTGTAAATGTACAAAGTATGTCTTATGATTTCTTCCCAAAGTCTAATAAATGTCTGCTGTGTTTCACCAGTATTGCTCTCCCCCCAATGTAGAGTGGGCAGTGATAAAAGTAGGTTAGGCTACCATCAGCATAACCCTGACCAATCAAAAGGCTAACATGGCTCTGCCCTCAATTTGAGTTCGGGTAACTTAAAGATATCTTAGTAAGCACTTTAGTAAGCTAGCTAGCTATCCAGCTATTTGCGGGTTTGGTGCGCCTGAGGTCCATTCAGCCAGCTATGCCAGCATTCCATATATGTGCATTCCCATCCAGTTTTTTAGTTCGTCATTTGCCAGGTGACCGCTGGGATAGGCTCCAGCAACCCAGGAGGAAAAGCGCACAGATAATATGTGTGTTTGTATGTGTGAGCTTCCCTCTAGCATGCTGGCTGTATAGTGCATGAGTATTCAGTGTATTGTGAGTCACTGGCTAGAAAGTCCATTCTTTTCAAATTTACTTTTATTTTCTGTCTTCACTCCAGCCTAGGTGGGATCAAGTCGAGGTGTTGGAATTGATAATTGGGGGTAATTGTGCTGTGTTCACTAGAGTGGCAGAAATTTGCAGTGCAGTGTGTTTAGAGCTCCCCTTTGCTCTAGTTATAAACCAATTGCCAGCTACCTCAGTGGCCTCCACCTGGGAAATGGAGTCTGACACCCCAGCCTCTGGTCACTGGTCCTGACTCCCGTGAGGGAAGCATGTCTCTCGGGTTAAGGAGTTCCTCAAAGTGCTCCTTCCACCGACCAGAAATATTCTCAAAGTCAGAATTTCTCCACCCCTACTGAGTACAGCTTGAGTGAAGCCACTCCAACCGCTCCTGAGTCGCTGGACGGTTGTCCAGAAACTCCTTGAAGCCAACCAGAAGTCTTTTTCCGTGGCCTCTCCAAACTTCTCCCATGTTCTGGATTTTGCTTCTGCCACCACCACCGCTGCTGCCTTTTTTGCCCATCGGTACCTATCTGCCAAGTCAGGAGACCACCAGACCAACCAGTCCCTGAAGGCCTTCTTCTTCAGCTTGACGGCCTCCCTCACCACAGTTGTCCACCCACAGGCTTGGCTACCCAGCCACCAGGTGCTCATCGAGGAACACTATTCCCAGGCCTGGCTCCAGGGGTCGGTCCGGGTAACCCTCTCTCTGGCAGGGTTACACGATATATTGTGTTCACTCATTTTGGATCGTGTTAGTCTTCATTCCAAACCTGTTCACCTTAACAGGACCATACAAGCCCTTCCACAACATCAAGGCCCTGATCCAGGAAGGGTAAAACAGAACAATAAAGTAAAAATGCTGGAGATAAGACAGGGTGTGTGGAGTCAATACAACTTTAAAAATGTCATTTCAATGAAATATGGTGCAATTATGATCCTTAACTAAAAGTATTGAAGACATACACTTGGGCGTACCAGCCCACTGACATTAAAGTACCTTTTTTTCTGAAAGTGTACATGAAAGTCATTTCAACCACTAGTAAACTGTACAAAACTATAATTATAGCATCAGCCTATTGATTCATGTGCAAACATGTATAGGGCTTCATCGTTATTATGTACATTTTTTACTGTGCAAACCATTTAACTTCACACACACATTAAATCTTCATTTCAAGAAGTCTTGAAGTTTCCCTGTATAGAGTAATAGGCATTTTAGCATTCGGCAGCCCTAATCTGTGAGCTTGCATAATCAACCGCTTCGTTTTTGCTCCAAGATGCTTCCATTTCACTATAATAGCACTTAAAGTTAACCATGCAGATCTAGCAGGGTAGACATTTTACAAACCGACTTGTGGCATAGGTATCTTATAAGGTTTAAAATCACTGAGCTAGTTAGTATGACCCATTCTACTGCCAGTGTTTGTCTATATAGACTGAATAGCTATGTGCTTGATTGTGTACACCTGTTAACAAAGGGTGTGATTAAAACTTTAGGCCATTTAGTGTATCAACAGCATCAAGCAAAAATAAACAAGCAAACAAATAGCAAACATTTTTTTCTGTTTGTTTCTATGTCAAATAATGTGAACAATTAGCAAAAACATGGCAAAAATGCATAACAAGTTATCTCTTCTACTTATAGCAGGGAATATTTCAGTCATTTCATAAACCTTTTAAAAAATTGTCATCATATAATCATGAATAAGTTGGTATATAGCAGTGACTACTGTAGCAACTCCAGTATTACATGCACAAACATTTGTGTATGACCCATTCACAATAAATCTGGTGAAAATACATCTAGCAGGGAAGACAATTCTAGCTCTTATAAGACTAAGGGGCAGATTTACTAGGTTTAAATTTAAGACAAGTTTAAGGTTTGCCAGCACAAAAGAACCAAGAGTGATTTGCAGAAGCCTTTATGTGTGTACACACGAGGTCGCCACTGGGCTGCGTGGCACTTCACTTTCTGAATATGCATGTTAGGGAGTGATGCTGTTAAGAGCATAAAGGGAAGGAGGCTATGCAAATTAACAGCCTGTCTGGAGTGATTTACTAACAAGAACTTACTGAAAAAATGGCATCTATTAACAATAAGGAAACTGGCCAAAGACAGAAAAGAGAGAATATTCCATCAGATACCTTTTTAAACTTATTAAGCTCTTGTTTTTATTTCTTCTACACCAACCTTTAAAACTTCAAAATCATTGTTTTCAATTAAACAAAATCTAGGATTTCCTCCATCTTTCTCCATTTAGCAGTTTATTTAAATAATTTTCTTCAGCCAGGCTTTCACTTTGGGCTGAGCATTAGCACTACATTTTTATTTATTTATTAATTGTACTGTTTACTTTATGGAAAAATGTATTTTTATTATTTTCATTTTTTATTTTTATTTTTAACAAGTCCTCAATAACAGTAATATTTACAGTAAGCAAGCCAGTGTGAACACTAGATTAAGGCATTATAGAAACAAAAAAAAACAGGCTTTAGGTAGCATAAATTATCATATTTACATAAATATATATTTAAAAAATGGTGTGGCATGGAAGACAAATCAGTATTTAGATCCAACAATACAAGTGAACTTACATTTTGAAAAACATTATTTAACGTAACTAGTTAGTATGTTGTCCTGCTGAATGCTGAACGCTGAGCGTAGCATAGACTATTAGCCTGGGGGTAACATCTGGAATATACTGGAACAAGTTAACTTACCAAACCAACTTTCTTCAAAATCTTGATACTCTGATCTTGTAATGGTGAGTTTCTTAGCTGAGCTGTGCTGAGTGCTGAGATACACACACACACACATTATATGTATATATATATATATATATATATATATATATATATATATATATACACACACACACACACACACATGGCATTAACAAGCCATGGGCCCACTTCTATAACCTAAGAATAGCTCTATTAGTTTGTATTGAAGTCTCTGTAGTTACTGAATAATAAGCCATAGTATGAAATAAACCTGGATTGTTAAGAGGTTAACAGAATGCAAAACATCTTTACATTTCCTTTTCAGTTATAATTAGATGTTCTGTGAAATCCAAAGTTTAACTCCTGGATTACTTTTTTAAAAGTTAAAAAACGTATAATTTTAAAATGTGTTGCAATAGTTCAGGTGATCTTAGTATATTTGTTATGCTGCCTCTCACAGTTGCCTAGAAAACATTCTCATATCAATAAAAATGGCTTAAAAAAGAAGATAGGGTACCGTTAGGATTTTCTGGCAAGTTATTGTGCATCTGGAATGCTCTTATCAGTAGATAAGATGATAAGACAGTGAACTCAGGAAATTAATGGCTAGTGTCCTAAATTCAATCCTGATTGGAGCTTTTTACAGTGACTAAAGAGATAAGATAAGGTTTAGAGTTTGAATATTTCTGTAACACAGCTTTAGGGCTTGATGGGAATTACTGGGTCAATGTAGGACATGGAAAAGTGTCAGTTTCTCTCAGGGGAATAACATGAGAGGCTGTGGAAAACTCTATGTATTATTACATTAATACTGTGTACAGTATATATACACACAAAAATAGCCAAGCCCAAAATCTAATGGCATGTACTGATGGACTTGGCCGGTAAAAGTCCAGATTTAAAGCCAATAGAGAATATCTGGTCTCACATTAAACACAAACTAGCTCAACAATGTTTTTCAGCTGTTTGAAGCCACCGGTGCTGAGTGGAACAATATTGACTCTTCTTTCTGTAAAAATCTGTCTGCAAGTTTACACAAGACTTCAGTATTGAGAGAAATCAGAGGCCTCCACACTAATTTACTGCATCTATCTGTTTAATTAATGCTTATTTATTGACTAATGATTTGCTGTTAAGACCATTAAAAGCTTAATGTTTTGCCATGTTTGGTTTGGCCCATGTGTTTTTTTTTTCCCTCTAGGGTGTAGTATTGATATTAACTATAGTAGCTGTTCCTCCAGTGGAAAAATGAATAATATCAATAATATAATCAAATTAAATGCTTTTCTCTGCTCTTATCAGGTGAATTAGGACACTGCTATCTCTCTGTGCGTGAAATGACAGTAACAGTAAACATTCACAATATCATATGATTGTCAGGCGTGCTTAGAAAACATTGATTCCAAAGGTCACACAAGACCAAGGAACTTAAAAGAGGCCAAAAGAATAAAACAAGTGATAAAGTATTGAAGAGCTCCTCAAGATCCACATGTAGAAGAGAGAACAGAGTTCTATTTCAGGTAAAATATATATATCAGTATGAGACATTTATCTGATGATTCACTTTTGTGTTTTGCTGAATGTACTTGCTGTGAGAACTGCAGATTAGAGTGTATGCACACTTACAACAGTCCTACCAATTTATGCATTTTTAGATTTGTTTGATGCATTTTCACTTACTGTTTTCATGAATTGTAACAGATCAGCCGATCACTTAATCATGATTCTACCTCACAGGCTTGCACCAATTTGTGAGTTAAACATTTGACTGTTAAAACTCTGCCTGTCATTGCAGACTGGCTCTACTTTTACTGGCTTACTCTCTTATTACCATAAAGGGGAATTCTATCTATTTGTTCTTTAACATTTCTCCATTCTCTTAGTCATTCAGAGTGGTTTGGTGTGAAATGCTCTATTCTAGAGAAACTTACTGAGTCAGAATTGTTCACAGTGGTGGTGACAGGAACCTCAACCTCTAAAAGCTCCCTCACAGAAAGTTATCACATGAAACGGTTATGAGTACGCTACCTGATGTCCGAGACATTATTTCCTGACAGTTTTGAGAAGGCTTTGGCCTAAAACATATTTATAAAGTCTATTAATGGTGGAGAAGTACATACAGGATGTTAGAAGACCAAACAGTCCCCAAAAAGACTTTCTACTGATTTTCTACTATTTTACCATCAGCAACATTACATATAATATCAGAAGACTTGTGTAGGTTCACTGGTGGTTTTGGATAGTACATTTTAGACTCAACTACTGAATTCTCCAGAAATTAACAAATTGGTGGAATTACTCTTTAAATTAGTGTTTAATTTTACAAATCTTATTTTATCTTTATTGGCTTTTTTTTTTTTGGAGGGGTAAAGACAATATTGGTGTATAAACTGAAGTGTCACTGCAGCAGCAGGTGACACCAGCTTGCTAGTCGACAAGAACATATCAAACCTGGGGCTCAAAATAAGAAAAATAATCTTTTTTTAATGTAAAATCTCATACTTTGAACACAATAATAACAAACAAAACCTTCAATATGCTAAGACTGTCTTATGAGTTCTAGAATTTATGTTACCAGTGTTAATGAGCTGGTTGATGATTGTGCCATGTTCAGATTTAGAAAACTGCACTTGAGAAATACAGAATAGATTATTAAAATATTGTTTTGCTGTTTAAGCTAGACATCTCCAGGCATTGTTATTCTGTTACTGTGAAACATTTTGTCATTTTGTAGTATAAAATCAATAATAAATTTAGCTATGACCTTTTGATTAGTAAATCAGTCTATACTATCCTATAATGGGATTAGAAATGAACATACAAGCTGAGATTTTTGGTTCTGAATTTAGAGAAAAGCTGATTTTAAGGAAAAATGGCTTTTGGAATTGGCCTTAGAACTGCAGTGACATCTCAGAAAACGTGCAGCATCTGTGTAAATGCTGTCATTAGTACAAAGAAACCATTGGAAAATACAGTAAGACACCAATGAAGGCAAATTGAAAAACATGTTGAGTTTTGAGATTTTTGTTATGAATTTAAAACGTTAGAGAGAGACAATGTTATATATACACAAAAATGCAAAAGAATGACATTTATTTTGTCATTTCTGCCTGTAGTTTCTGGACTTAAAGGGCCCATATCTCTGGGTTTTTGAAATAAAAGAGTTTGTGTGGCACATAAACCTGGTTAAAGTTTCAAACATACTGGTCACCCCCCAATCCATATCGTCCATAAGGGTTGAGAACCCCCTGCTGCGGAAACAATTCACACCTCTTTACAAAGATGGCCATGCTGAGATAAACCAGACAACTGCAGCTTTCTACAATCAGACAATCTTGTATAATTGACACAATAAACAAACAGCATTTAATCAAAGTAAAAGCACTATAAATGTTAGCTCGCTTGCTCACCCAGAAAAAAACAAAATCCAGTTCACTTCCATTTTTGTAAATAGTATACATTTCCATGGAAATATATTCCACCATTGTTATTGAAGAAGATAGTAGTGCATAGTAGTGAAGGAGCTCCAAAACAGATGGAAATTGAATTTTATGGCTGATGTGAAAAGAGGTTAACAACGTTAACACAGTGAAGTGAGGAGTGCTTTCTAAAGGGTTAAACAGGTGATTGATTGGTTGAATTGATTTTTTATATAGACATTATTTCATAACACTTTACCTAAACTCTCTCTTATGCCAAAAACATGCCATGGCAGAAGCCGTAATTTCTGATCTGTAATATAAAAGCAACCATCACCAACAGTTGTAATATACCCATAACACCACAATGTTTGATGTCATGACATTTTATGTCGCATGCTAATTTTTGCTAAAAGTACTCATGACATACTTATCGGTAACATAATACTATTATATCATTCACAAAATTTCTAATGACAGATCATAACAGCGTATGAAATCTGCTATGAAATGTTTATGACAAGGTTATGTCAACTCTGTGTTTCAGGCATCAAGGGAAGTGTTACATATTTATTTAATAGCAAAAAAACTGTTCTTTTATTATTGACGTGTTCTCCTGATGGTGATTTAAAAGTGATGGTTTCTCACAGGTGAATATATCTCCATTAAGGATGTCCATTGCTGCCATACCGGACAATAATACAAGAAATGGCTTCATGGTGATGACCCAAGTGATCCCACCAGGGCAAAATGCAGTTGGGGCTGGGTCAGGGGTCCCTATTCTTGGAGTCCCTAATGTAGGGGTCCCTACTGTTGGAGCCCATAATGTAGGAGTTCCTACTGTTGGTGTCCCCAGTGCTGGTGTCCCTACTGTTGGAGTTCCTACTGCCGGGGTCCCCATTATCACACCAGTCAGTAATACTGACACAGTAACATCTGCTCAAGGCCGATTTCAGAGATTTCTCAGATCGCAGCCAAAAGCTCTTGGGGTAAGACATTCCAATTACGCTGTCCAACACAGAGAGTACTTTTTACATTCTCTTTATCTCTAAATCTACTGTTTTATTTGCTGTGAAACATGAATTAAATATTAAAGTGATAGTTTTAGACTCTTAAAGGGATAATGATAGCTAGCTGATCATGTAAGTCACCAACTGGAATGTTTTTTTTTGTTTTTTTTTGTGCTCTGAAAGATTTAATTGGTTTTTTTTTTGTTTGTTTTTTATGTTTTTTTATTAGCTGAACTATCCCTGTAATGACAGAGTGTGCTTGTGCACCAGTCATTATTCAAGTGGCAAGTGAGCTAGATAATAGTACAGTAATAAACAAGGTAATAAATGATAAAGAACAATTGCCAGTAAGTACATTTAGTGATCTTGAATTCTACTGATGTCATGAGCTGCCATCAACATTTTACATACTGGGTAAATTCAGAGAGTTTTGTTACAAGAAAATATATATAATATATATATATATATATATATATATATATATATATATATAATAATTTATATAATTTCTTGATTTTTCTTTTTTCACAGACCGTCCAAATAATGAATGGAGTCATAACTCTTGTGTTCGGCACCGTGTTGACAGTCATCGAGCCGCCGTTTTCTGTCTATACTGGAGTTGTTTACTGGGGCTCCATAATCGTAAGATCTAGGATTATTTGCTATATTAAGCAAAAAATATGAAATAAATCCAGTGTTTTCCGGTCCTGCGCACTGAGTGTCCTAAGCCAATCCTGAGTTTAAAACTGGTCTGTTGAATCAAGGGGCACTAAAATGTGCCGGACAGGGGGATTCCAGGTGCATGACTGGGATACACTGGAATAGATAATTTTCAAACTGTAAATATTTGCAATTAATTGTTATTTTCTCATCCTTAAGTACATCATCGCTGGCTCTCTGACTGTTTCGGCAGCAAACAGGCTTACTCCCTGTTTGGTACGTCAACATCTATATTTGTTAAGAGTTATCATTAAAGGTTGCTGTTGCTACTGGCACTATACCTTTCTCACAAATTGTTGTGCTTGTTTCTGGTTAAGATTTAATAGCATTAAATCTAGAATGTTTGATTACAAAAGTCTTGGAGTTGACTTTCCAGTGACTGAACTCGATGAAGTGGAATCCAAGCATTGATTCACAATTCTAAAAACCAAGATGTAGAGAAGGGCAAAAATATCTGATACTCTTGGCAAAAGAGTATCAGATTAATAATATATTTGACCTTGGCAAGGAAAATTGGAGAGCTAACGCTAGCTAAATTAACTTGGTTGACCAGCGGCCACTGGCTGTGTTCCTGATTCTCCTCCTCTGTCAACTCCTTCAAGTTGGTAATTGTTTTGGCACTGGCAATGTTGTTCGGTTGTAAGAAAATTTTTTCATTTTACTTTGTTGGGCAAACATGAACGTCTCTGTGCCAAATCAAGTCCAAGGCTTTGGAGACGACTCTCAATTACCTTGGAATTCCTGTGCAATCTGTTTGTTTTGGGATCAACTCCCAGCCATAGTGACCTCACCTTCTGTCCAATCAACTACGGCACAAGTGGTCTGAAGAAGTGGGTTCACGCAACTCTCTTAAAAAAGATGGTTCTTTGGTAAAGGAAATGGTTTTATTTAGAACCATGAGTTCTATATAGAATCACTTCATTCTTGAATGGTTCTTTACATGGTGAAATAGTTCTTCAGATTGATAGAGAATGTGTTGTATATGGTTCTATATAGCACCAGAAAGGGTTCTGCTATTATTACAATGTCAATCTTCTAATGAGAAAAACCTTTTTGTTGCTATATAGAACCATTTTCAAAAAGATTCTACACAGAAACATAAACAAAACATCCTCCATTAATCTTATGAACCCTTTAATGGTTCAGGGAACCATTTATGGTTCTATATAGAACCATTTTCTTTACTAAATAACCCTTGAAGAACCATCTTCTTCAAGATTGTAACATTGAAAGTATGTATCTAAACCTGGATTCATCACAGCCTGATTAAACCTGGTTATTCTCCTATCTGCAGGTGAAAGGCTCTCTAGGAATGAATGTGTCCAGCGCTGTAGCTGCAGGAATTGCTGTCTCTCTACTGGCGCTTGACTTTGTAATATCTGTAGGAGAAAATCCTTGCTACCCCATGTACAACGAAGTTTGCGAGGCTTACCTCCAGTTTTTAGTATGTATTGGATTTTTTTGCTGTTGTAAGTTGTTATAGGACATAAATTTGATTTTAAGGAACGGAAACTATATGTTTACATGTTTTTGCTGGTAAAACACAAGTTTGTAGCTATTTAACACAATAAAGGTGCTTGTATCACAAATCTTAAATCAAGCAGCTGACATTGCATCTATGATATTCATTTTATTTTTAATTATTTATGTTTACTAATAACCTCATTGTTAGTAATAAAACTTTATTTTTATATTTCAATGTTATGCTGTATACCAGGAGCAAACCCATGGAATTAGTGGAGTGCTGCTGGTTTTCTCTGTGCTTCAGCTCACTGTCTCCATCTGCCTCTCAGTGTTTGGATGCAAGGCCACCTGCTGCACTGAACCAGTGGTGAGTATCCCAGTACCACTGAAAATGACCTTTTCAATTTGGACAGTACTGTTATGTTTCATGAATACTTCGGTAAACCCCAACAATGAGGCTAATAGAGTTCTTTGATACTGTAGAACAATCATTTTTGGTTTTGCTTTCAGTTGATGGTTGTGCATTCAAGCCAAGTAGAATGTAGGAAACTTTATTTATGAATATGTCAAGTAAAAAGAGTTCAAAAAGGTCCCTAAAAGACCAGCAGTGGAACTTCTCAGTCCATCCAAGATCAGCATAGAACATTTTGTTAGTAGTTAAAAATCCACCTATCACTGGGTGTGTCAAGCAGGTATAGAATAGAAAATCAGTGTGATAAACGCCATCTCTCTATTTTAAAGGTCTCTGTTGTAACTGTGGCTCCAAACTATGCAGCATGCTGCTCAATGGTCAATCCATTCCAAGCTCACAGCGGTCAACAGGTAAGAGAAGCCTGTGGGTTATCATGTAATGTTTCTCAGGGCACACTGTGGCTCAGTACAGAACATTCATTTAAAGAAGTGTAGTAGCTGTCGGTAGTTTCGTCTTTTCTCTATGGCGTTTCAAAGCGCCATATTTTTACAACAGCTAGGTGGCTAGGAACCAATCACATACCAATTGGAAGAGGGGGTCATAGAGTTTCTGACTGTCAGTATGGCAGTAATCCAACAGCTCAGAGCATTCGTCGCTGGTACCAACAGTTCCAAGAAAAAGTTCACCAGCATCACCAGATCTCATGCCACCTGTGGGTCGTGAAGGATTCTGATATATATATATAAATATCTCCCAAACTTTTGCCACATTTTGAACACGTAAACACATGAATAGGACTATAAGATCATATGCAAAAGTTTGGATGCACATGTTCATATTTGTTGATTTTCTAAGTCACTAATAACTTAACATGTTCTCTACAGAGAACATTAAATTTGTCTGTACATTTTAGTGCACGATTTCTATTTAACAAAGAACAAAAAGTCAAATATAAAAAAATAAAATGTCAAATTTTGTACATTGCACATTTTATCCCCTCCACTGCAATATATTAAATTCAGCAAACAAACTGTCCATTAAAATGTGCAGAAGTGCGTTCTCTGTAGAGAATGTGTTCACTTATTTGTTATTCCATGAGTGTTCAAGGAGACATATAATGTGTGTATCAAGGTTTCTTTTTCAATACTGTGCATTAAAAGTGTAAGAATGCATTGATATATTATGGCACATAAGTTTGAAGGTGCCGATGCAACTACATTGATTTTGTAATAATCATTAATAAGCATTTTGTGCAGTTTTTCTTTCTTCTAACTGTATCGGTTGCTTGTGCTGCCCACTAGTTGCATTTCTATTCAGACATGGGGATAGAAAAAATCCCACATTTCACCTTTAAATGGCAAATTGAGGGTCTCAAATTGCAATAAGACCACCACTTGAAACTAGGTGGGACAAATTATTGAAAACTTCACTGACAGACTGACTGTTGACACGTCTTCTCACTACGTAATCTAAACAGCTTAAAAAAGGACATGGATATGCAACTTTTAGTGGCCATTCAGCAGACAACAGGAAGTCACTCTGCAGCTCATCAGGAGCTGGATTGACTCTGGAACCCCTTAGTCAGTGATTATGCATTAAAATGTGAAGAAGTGTGTTGTCTGTAGAGGATGTGTTAACTTAGAAAACTAACAAAACATGGAATTTGACTAAGGGCACCCAAACTTCTGTATACAGCTGTACAACAACACAGTCTGGCTCAGCACTGTAGCATTTCAAACTGAAACTGAAACTCCACACTATGTAGCTACTCTAAACAAAGTGCACTACAAGTTTCCATTAGGCTGAATTGATTTTTAGCCAGGCTCTAATTATCTCTCTTTTCACAGGATGTGTTTTACATCACAAACCCCAATGCTGATGTGAACAATCCTTTTGCACAACATCCTTCAGCATACTGCCCAAACTCACAGAAACCAGATAACTGAGAATGATGGAGGAAAATTACCTGGAGATGAGCTACAAGTCCTAACATACTTTTTGAAGATGATTTGTTTTGTGATCTTTTGAATAATTTGTGTATGAACAAACTTATATCACTGCTGTCATAGTACAACCTAATTTGCAAAAAAGTTGGGATGCTATGAAAAATAAATGCAACTATGTGCAAATCATTTAAACCTTATATTTAACTGGACATGCTTCAATGACACTATAAAATGTTGAAACTGAGAAATTATATTGTTTTTTGAAAAATATATGCCCATTTTGAATTTGATGCCTGCAACACATTCCAAAAAAGTTGGGACAGGGCAAAAAAAAAAGGCTGGTAAAGTTGTGTAATGCTACACCTGGTGGTTAATTGGCAATAGGTCAGTAACATGACTGAGTACAACAAGATCATCCCAGAGAGGCTAAGTCTTTCAGAAGTAAAGATGAGGAGGGTTCACCACTCTGTTAAAGACTGCATGATCAAATTCAAGAACAACAATTCAAGAATAAAGTTTCTTAACATAAAATAGCAAAGAACCTTTGTTTTTCATTGTCTACATAATAATGTAGTACATAATAATAACATTAAAAGATTCAGAGACTCTGGAGAAATCTCTGTACGCAAGGAACAAGGCAGAAAACCAGTATTTGCTGTCCACGATCTTTGGGCCCTCAGGTGGAACTACATTAAAAACTGACATGGTTTTGTAGAGGAAATCACTGTATGGGCTCAGGAACACTCCTGAAAACCACTGTCTGTGAAAGCAGTCACTGCATCCAACAAATGCTAATTAAAACTCTTAATTGCAAAAAAGAAACCACATATAAACAGCATCTAGAAATGCTGCCACCTTCTCTGGACTTGAGCTCATTTAAAATGGACTGAGGGGAAGCGGAAAAGTGTCCTGTGGTCCGATGAATCAACATTTGAATTTCTTTTTGGAAATGGACACTGTGTCCTCTGGGCTAAAGACCATTAGGTTGTTATCAGTGCACATTTCAAAAGCCAGTATTCATGATGGTATAGGGGTGCATTAGTGCACATGGCATGGGTGATGTGCACATCTGTGAAGGCAACATTAATGCTGAATGATATATACATGTTTTGGCAGCATATGCTGCTTTCCAGATGATGTCTTTTTCAGGGAAGGCCTTGATTATTTCAGCAAGACAATGCCAAACCACATTCTGCATGTATTAAAACAGCATGGCTCCGTATTAAAAGAGTCCGGGTGCCTGCAGTCCAGACTGTCACCCACTGAAAACATTTGGCACATAATAAAATGTAAAAATACAACAAAGGAGACCCTGTTAAGCAAAAATGGGAAACCAGTTCACTTTCAAAACTACAGCAATTGGTCTCCTCAGTTCCCAAACGCTTATTGAGTGTTGTTAAAAGAAGAGGTGATGAAACATAGTGATAAACATGTCCCTGTCCCCTGTCACTTTTTTTTGGAATGTGCTGTTGGCATCAAATTCAAAATGGGTGTATATTTTTCAAAAAACAATCAAATTTCTCAGTTTCAACATTTAATTTGTTGTCTTTGTACTATTTTCAATGAAATACAGGGTTTAAATGTTTTGCACATCATTGAATTTTGTTTTTATTTACATTTTGCACAGCATCCCAACTTTTTTTTTTTTGGAAACTTTTTATATTGACATCTTGTCTTTTACAGCGCGTAAGCATTTCATGACAACAATAGAAAGTATCACACTTTACATGTCTCTTATGAAGCTTCTGTGTCTGAGATACTATTTTTTTTTTTTGACACTGTATTTCATGGTAATATGAATGTATAGTACTCCTAATTCATCCACCATCCACCACTTAAAAGAGTCATTAGTGAATGGAAATTAGTAGCCCATTAGCATGAAGTAATTCAAGTAATGCTAACTGGTGGCTGATGTAATTTATTGTTAACGGTGTTAGTTTTTTGGACTGAATGTTAGACATATTTTCACACCAAATCTTGAGGTGGATAGGAAAGCTTTTATGTCCGAAACACTTCAAAATATAATGACTTGCCATTTATGTAACACTCAATCCACTTTAAAAATAATAATAAAACGTTTTGAAATTTTTTGATGCTACAGTTACTCAGTGCTCAGCAGGCATCTGGCTGATGGTGCTGTACAGCAGACACACCCTGCATATAGGGGGGTGGGGGGAGGTGGGAGGGGCTGGAAATTTCCATCAAAAGCACAGCACATGCCAAACTATGGGTCGAGAAGAACAGCATTTCAGGTAACATCTTTATATTTAGGTGATTGATTTTATGTTTCATGAATTTCTTTCAGCTTTATGAAATCCTCTGTTACTGCAAAAATAATTATACTTGTAATATCTACAGCCTTTGGCATGTCACTTTATGAACTTAATTAATGCTAAAATTAGTTAATCTAATAAGTAATTTACTTAAAAATAAGTAAATCTATACACATCGATACACCCTCAATGGAAGTTTTATGCCAAAAATTCCTTGAGATACAGGTTAGGGGATACAGGGGAGGGGATACAGGGGAGGACCGATCAGAATGGATAGCTTTATTAAAACATTTGGACTAGGCTTTAGTCATTTAGCAAAGATGGAAAAGGTTAATGAAAGATAATGGGTTTTAAAACATTTAATGGCAGATAATAGCGGCTATATACCTGAAAATGCCCAGATCCCCTGTTAGGGCAATAATTAAAAAGTTTAAAACAAACAGAGTGTAGTGAACCCAGTGGCGATTCTAGGATTACTTTAAGGTGGGGCTATAACGGGGCCATAGCTGCCTTCAAATTCAAAGAGCTTCATAATAATATCATGATATTTCTAATTACAATTGTGATAAAGAACATGCTTTATTAATCATCAACCACAATACAGATAAACTTGTTCCATATATGGTGTGCTTGGTTGCAGGCATAGTAAAATATCTAATCATAAGGCTGATACAATTACAATGTTCAAATACACAAAAGTTCAGAAATCAACCCTCTTTAAGGGAGCCCATAGGCTTTGTCCCCCAGAGAATATTTTATTGATTTAACATGGAAATTAAGCATTCTGGCACACTTTGAGAATTAAATACAGGGAAAGAAGTAAATACTGTTGCATGATTAAGTTTGCTGAATTCAATAACTATGCCAATACAGAGAACATGCTTTCCAGGTTTTTTGTACTTTTTACTTGCTACTGCTTACAACACCAATATCAAAAGGTCAATGAGCATGATGTTTGGCAGACATCTCCTCTTCAATAGTAACTATGAATAGAAGTTATTCTAAAAACTCATAATGCCCATAATTTGTATTCTATCCGTTAAAAGGCCTATATGGGCGCCATATGGCGTGCTTGGACCCCAGTGATCACCACTTGAAAAGTAAGCTCCTGTAGGTGCTTAGTAGAGAACACTGTATGGACAAAAGTATTGGGCCACATTACACCTACAGGAGCTTTTACGACATGCCATTCTAAATCCATAAGCATTGCACTCTTCTGGGAAGCTTTCTTTTCTCTCCAGGATTCTTTTCAAAAGTTTTGTAGTGTGCCTGTGGGGATTTCTGCCAATTCATCCAGAAGAGCGTTTGTGAGGTCAGACACCGATGTTGGACGAGAGGGCCTGGCTCGCAATCACTGTTCTAGTTCATCTCAAAGGTGTTCAATGGGGTTGAGGTCAGGGCTCTGTGAGGGCCGGTCAAGTTCTTCCACACCAAACTCACCCAGTCATGCCTTTATGGACCTTGCTTTGTGCACTGGGGCTCAGCCATGCTGGAACAGAAAAGGTCTTTCCCCAAACTGTTCCCACAAAGTTGGAAGCAGACAACTGTCCAAAATGTCTTGGTCTGGTGAAGCATTAAGATTTACTTTCACTGGAACTAAGGGTTCTAGACCAACCCCTGAAAAACAACCCCATAGCATTATCCCTCCTCCACCAAACTTTACAGTTGGCACAATGCAGTCAGGCAGGTAATGTTCTCCTGGTATTCACCAAATTCAGACTCGTTGATCAGACTGACAGATAGAGAAGCATGATTCGTCATTCCACAGAGTATGTTTCTACTGCTTCAGAGTCCAGTGGCGGCGTGCTTTACACCACTCTATCCGATGCTTGGCGTTGTGCTTGGTGATGTAAGGCTTGCATGCAGCTGCTCGGCCATGGAAACCCATGCCATGAAGCTCCCATACAGTTTTTGTGTTGATGTTAATGCCAGAAGAGGTTTGGAACTCCGCAGTTACTGAGTCAGCAGAGCATTGGTGACTTTTATACACTATGTGCCTCAACACTCGGTGACCCTGCTCTGTAACATTACATGGTCTGACACTTTGTGTCTGAGTACCTGCAGAAGACCAACCAGATAACTGGTCTACAACATCTGCAGATTAAAATACACTATAGCACTTGCAGATACAGTATAAGCTTATTATAAGACACATTATACGCTCTTTCCTGCACATGCTGCTTCATCGTATCATGTGTGGCATCGGTTGTTAAAAAATGTGTTACATTTGAGGCAGCATATTTGAGGGTGAAAGCAGATTAAAGTGCAACTGTTCTGTAATCATACTGTAAGGTTGCCTCATTAAAATTGTGAAACTTATTTATTTGTGTAATAATTACTTTTACAATATGCCTGTTTTTTTATCCTTGTAATTAACTATTGTTAGATTATAAGTTGTATCATTTGGACTCATTCAATAAGCCTATCATTCTGTATATTTTTGGTTATCATTTTTTTATACTATTAACAATATAGTAATTGCCTTAAGCAAAAGAAAACATAGGGGTGCAAAACCATTCCATTCTAATATGCTTGGCCTAATTATTGTCATCAGTTTACTGAAAATGTGCTACTCGTGCTGCTCTTTGAAACCTAAAAATGCTTTACAAAAATGTCAAAGCAAACATCTAATTTTACCTAAAGCAGCACTATGTAATATTCCTGTTTAAACTGAAAGAAGTTTCATGGCTGATTAAGAAGGAAAAAACACACTAAACATGGTCAATGTGTGCTGCTGCAAGCACTATTAAGCCTGAAATTATCATTTCAAAATCAGACATACTGGGACTCATTTGGCAGGATTTTTTCCACATCATACATCTTTATGTATTAACATCACACATACAGCCTCACAAAGAAGGTCCAGCTTGGTGTTTAGGTCTCCAAAGCAAAATCAACATTATACTAATGATGATATGATGACAATAGTAGATAATTCACTCACATCCTCAGAAAACACGTCATTCACCAAGTTTTGACCGAGTTCTCTTCGAATTCTCTTTCAATGCTCTCGCAAAAGTCAAATTAATTCATTTGTAATGGGTCCAAAGCACAACCCATGTTACAAAATGTTCTTCCACACATTGCATGCAATTACACATTTCCACCAGAGAGGTCTCCAAATCCCCAAATCTTACATAGTGTTGCTTTGAATGCAATGAGTCATTACAGGTAAGCCATTACATTTTTTCATACCCACCATTGCAATATGCTTTGGCCTACAATGGTTAGGTTTAGTTGTTAACTTTGCTGTGTCTTTCTATTTTTATCTTTGCATATATCAGCTGTCTAATTTTCTAAGTTTTCTTTTGGCTCCCCCTGTTGTGCTTTAGCCTAGGAGGATTAGGTTTTACATTTTTTAGGTTTGCTTTGTTTTTGTACATCTCAGTGGAAAGGTGATGCAGTGTTGGTTGAGTCCAGGGTTCCAGTTGAATGCTATTGTTTTGTATCATCTTACACTTTAAAAGTAATTTTTTGAGTTGAATGTTAAATTGCTTGTTACTAGAGGAAGTATTTTTCAAGTAGATCTGACGAGCCACTTTTTACAGGGTATGGTAGTTTCTCTGTGTCGCTCTGAGATAGAAAAGGCCAAACTTTAGTGACATTTCTCAAATGATAAAATGCTACTTGTGACTGTGTTTACATGCAGGATAAAACAGAGCTCAGTACTGTGGCTCATGCGCATTTGGAAATTGCATGTATCAAGTTGGTCCCCCTCCTTTTTCACAAGCCTACTCTGCCTGTGCCTCTGCTGTTATCACTGTGTGTGAGTTCATGTGAGTTTCCTTTCAACAGGCTTTCTGAGAAAAAGTAAAGGAAGGCCTGTAGGCCCTCCCTCCCAACCGCCCATGTTCCATTGAGATCTGAGCTCAAGAAGCCAGTCCCCGTGAGGGATACAGTAAGCAAAACAAGCTGCTCTCATAACAGCACAGAGTCTTAGAGAGGGTTTAGTACAGCAGGTCATTGCCTTCATACATTATATACACACCGCTTTACTGGATTTTACCCTTCACAAAAGCCCACTAAGCCGTATAGGAAGAGACATCAAATCTGAAATCCACAATAAATTTGAGACGACTGCAACTTAGAGAAGATTTAAAGAAGAAAAGTCATTCAGAAGAGGACGAAGTACATACCAAACTGCACTCCAAGGAGAAAACAACAGGAGGTAACATTATTGCAGAAGCGGTTGGTTCGATATTTGATACATTTATTTCATTAACACAAGTGTTAATCTGTTAGTCATGTTCATCTCTATATAGTTGTTTCTATGCAGGTGGCTGGTTTAAACAAAAGCAAATGAACTGAAGTGTTTGTTTACAATGACCACTTAAAAAATGGCAGATTTTGAATGTTTTATGATAATGAAGTTTTCACCTTTACAAATATAAAGGAGATATATTATTATATTATTTTCCAGTGTGTTATTTTGGGCATGCACTGTGTTTACTGTCCATGTTTCAACATTTTAGCTTAATTCTCAGTGTTTTAATTTCCTTGTTCATCTGAATAAGACAATTTTAATATAAGATGATGACACTCTGCACCGCTAATTTATTTCTTATAATTAATAACAGTTTTTTTACAGGTGAATAAATCATTTTGTTAAAGATGTCGACCACTGCTGTTCCACTCTCTAACACGGGTAATGGCTACACCATTGTGACCCACGTGATCCCCCCACCAACATCAACTGAAATTGGGGAAAATATCTCCACTGGAGGACCACTTCAGAAATTTCTGAAAGGAGAACCAAAAGCGTTAGGAGTAAGTCATGCAACCTCACGTCTGCTTAAGTCAAATATAGCCCATTTTATTCCAATTGATTTAATCTTTTTATGTTTGCTGTAGTATCAGCACTTTCCATACCCATGCATGGAAACTAAGATCAGCCCATTTTGAATTCATTGTTTTTGTGATGCCACGAAACCAGTGTATTACAATACAGTTTAGCTCTGTCCACTCATGGTGAAGTTCTAATTCCTGGCCCTTGAGATCTACCACATTGTAGTTTAGCTCCACCACTAATCTAACACACCTGATCCAGGTAATGAAGGCCTTCAGGGGCAAATGAATCTTAGAGCCAGGTGGGCTGGATCTGAACTCTCTAGAGTGGTAGATTTCCAGGACTAGGCAGATCACCAGAACAGAGGTAATTTGCATATATATTACTTAAAGGCACAGTAATAATAATAATAATAATAATAATAATATATATATATATATATATATATATATATATATATATATATATATATATATATATATAAAAATTATAGCTGTTTATTGCATAAAACCACACAAACATCATAAGTGGACAAAAACATACAATAAAATCTAGGATATGGACATTTGAATAAAATGATTAATTAATTAATTCCCCCAGAACCTGTAATGCTGCATTACACTGCTCTGGCTATGTTTCCTATTCATTTTCAATGGGAAACATTGCGTCAGTTAGACGCAATGAGTGGCATGAGGGGTCCAGCATGTCGAGTTTGGGGGATGTGGAGCATCAAAAACTTAAGTGAAGCTGAACTTTATGTAAATAAATCCGGCCTACATGATGTGTCTACCCAAACAGGAGGCGGCTGGGGCTAGCATGATTCTGCAGCTCAAAGTATCAAACATCGGTCCCACATGTAAAATGTTCCCACACAACAAGAAAGAGCATCAGCAAAAATTTAATATATTTGAACCCAACTGTTTACATACAAAATTTTACATCTGAGCAGCAAAAAGAACAAATTTTGGTTGTTTAATGTTTGGATGTTTATTTAGAATCAGAATCAAGCTTTATTGGCCAGGTATGCTTACAAGGTTGGTTTTGGTTACAGGAGCTCACAGTGCACAGTATCAGACAGACATTTACTGATGTCTGATGTTGACTGCAAGTGGTAAATCAATGACCTAAATCCTAATTTACCCAAGGTTAACTTTATTAACGTTTTGGAAATTTTGCACTAACATGAGGCCAACTGAAGGGGGAGGATGTGTTCATGTCATGTTCATGTTTAATATTCTGCATGGAATAAATTTTGTTTTATTTTTCCCTTAATATGTTACATTTAGCAAATGAACAGTAATTGTGCATTAAAATGTGCAGAAGTATGTCCTCTGCAAAGAAATTCTTAACTAAATTATGCTTAGAAAATCCACTAAATGTCATTTGAGCAGGGGCACACAAACTTTTACATATGACTGTACAAGTTAAATACACTGCAGCAGATACTAAACATTTGTAAGCCATGTTCATAAACAATACATTGTCACCTCCAGATCAAAAGGACAACATTCCAAACTATTTAAATAAATAAATAAATCAATAAGAAGCTTTCTTTAATCTAATGAAAATGACATTAGAATTTTAGGCTCATTCATGCATATTTTTATAAATATTTTGTATTTTTAATTATTTTTTATTATTTTTATGTGAAGTAATTTATTTAAGTGTGTTCACATAAGCTGCACTAGGCATCTATGACTGCACCTACACTGGGATGCTGTGCAAAATGTAAATGGAAACAAAATGCAATGTTGTGCAAATTATCAAATGCTAAAACTGAGAAATTTCATTGTTTTTTTGAAAAATGTATGTATTTGATGGCAGCAACATGTTCCAAAAAAGTTGGGACAGGGGTATGTTTACCTCTGTGTTGCATCACCTCTTCTTTTAATGACATTCTGTAAGCGTTTGGGAACTGAGGAGACCAACTGCTGTAGTTTTGAAAGGGAAATGTTTTCCTATTCTTGTTTGATATAGGATTTCAGCTGCTCAACAGTTCAGGCTCTTTTGACATATTTCTTGTTTCATAAAGTGCCATATGTTTTTAGTGGGTGACAAGTCTGGGCTGCAGACAGGTCAGTTTAGCACCCTAACTTTTTTACTACAGCCATGCTGTTGTAATATGTGCAGAATGTGGTTTTACATTGTCTTGCTGAAAAAATCAAGGCCTTACCTGAAAAAGACGTCGTCTGAATGGCCGCATATGTTTCCAAAACCTGAATGTATCATTCAGCATTAATGGTGCCTTCACAGATATGCCAGTCACCCATGCCATGTACTCTAATGCACCCCTATACCATCATGAATACTGGCTTGAACCATGCACTGATAACAAGCTGAGTGGTCTTTAGACCCGAGGACACAGTGTCCACGATTTCCAAAAAGAATTTTAAACGTTAATTCGTCAGACCACAGAACACTTTTCCACTTTGCCTCAGTCCATCTTAAATGAGCTCAGGCCCAGAGAAGGTGGCAGCATTTCAGGGTCCTGTTAATATGTGGTTTCTTCTTTTGCATATTAGAGTTTTAGTTTGCTTTTAAGGATGCAGTGATAAACTGTGATCGTGCCTAGCCTATACTGGTTTTTGGCCTTGTACCTTGCATACAGAGATTTCTCCAGGTTCTTTTAATGATATTATGTACAGTAGATGATAAAAACAGCAACAGTTCTTGGCTATTTTATGTTGAGAAATGTTATTCTTGAATTGTTGCACTATTTGCCGGCACAGTCTTAGAGTGGTAAACCCCAGAAAGATGAGGATCTTTACTTCTGAAAGGCTCAGCCTCTCTGAGATGCTCTTTTTCTACCCAGTGTTGTTACAGACCTTTTGCCAATTAACCATCAGGTGTTTTTATAAGCATTACACAACTTAACCATTTTTTTGTTGCCCCATCCGAACTTTTTTGGAATGTGTTGCTGGCATCAAATTCAAAATGGTCAAATATTTTAAAAAAAAAACAATATAATTTCTCAGTTTCAACATTTGATATTTGTCTTGTACTATTTTCAAATAAATATAGGGTTTAAATGATTTGCACATCATTGTATTTTTTTTCATTGTATTTTTTCATTGTATTTTCCATTTACATTTTGCACAGTGTCCCAACTTGTTTGGAAATGGGGTTGTACATCAAATATCTGTTTTTTTTCCACAGACCGTCCAAATAATGATTGGATTGATGACATTCATGTTTGGCATAGTGATAACAATCCATACTGATCTCGTCATCACTGTCTACAGTGGAATTGCATTTTGGGGTGCTTTGATGGTAAGCTTTGTCTTTTTGTATTCCCCCAGATAGAAATACTTACATAGTAAAAAAGATAACTGCTATTACCAGCCAGTGAACTGTTACATTATTTCTCTCATTCAGTACATCATTACTGGCTCTCTTGCTGTTGCTGCAAGTAACAAGCTTCATCGCTGTGTGGTATGTAAACACCAACTACAGTTTTAATGTTTTTATATTGTGCAGAAAGGACTTTATTCAATAACACTTCACACTGAAGGTCACACCTTTGTGTTCGGTTTCTCGTCTAGGTGAAGGGTGCTCTGGTGATGAATGTGTTGAGTTCGATAGTTGCAGGAACAGCCATCATTCTGCTTTCCCTGGATTTCGTCATATCAGCATTATTGACGCACTGCCGTTATGATTATGATGGCAGTTTTAAGTGTAACAAGGTAAGATAATTTGATTTTAATGTGTGGCATATTCAGTTGCGCACTAATTCCTTTTATTTGACCAATGTGCTGTGCAAAGGTCAGAGACCACCCTACAGTTAAAAACGATTATTATAAAAAATTATTATTATCATTTGCTCATTAAAAACAAATTATTTACTGGTTGGGAGAGATTTCAGAGGAGAAAGGATACAAGACAATCCAGTTGCATAAAGAAGAGAAAAGCCAAAGGAAAATGAGTACAAAACTGGACTTCAAAAAATGATTAAAAGCTACAGAGAAAATGGGACTATTAAGAACCACCTGGAAGACCTGGGGACACCAAAACTGTCCCCATCAGATAAACAGCACTTAAAGAAAAGCAGACAGACACAAAAGAAGAATATTTGTACTAGAACACCAAAACTAGACATCTGAGATGTGGAGGAAGGTTTTGTGGGCTAATGAATTGTAAAATTGTAACTAGGGCGGTGACGGAGGCGGAGCAACAAGCTCTCTGTTCCTCTCGGCTCAGGTGCTCATGCTGCCCTTAATGAGAACCAGCTGATGCTGATCTGGTGCTGGCAGCATGAGTACATTTAAAAAAGAGCTGTGAAAGATGGAAAATTTGTTGCTCCACCTCCTCATCACTGCCCCCGCTTCGCAGCTCGTCCGCCTGGATCAAACGTAAGGTGTAGTCTAGCAGCCTAGCTGCAGCACAAGAGGCGGGGCCTGGGTGGTGGAGTTCTGGACGTCCGTTGACGTCCTCCTCCTGCCGTCACTCACATCCCTTGGCAGTGTTTGGGATTCGTGTGGCTGTCTTCGAGGCCTATATATATATATATATATATATATTATATATATATATATATATATATATATTTCTTGCTTTTTCCTGGCATTGAAAAATGAAAAATGAATAACTGGAAATCAAATAAATGAAGGGTGATTTCTAACTTTTGCACAGTAATATAAAAGCCAAAACTGTAAAGCTACCTGCTAGTAATTTTTTGGCTTAGCATAGTTTTTTACACATTAAGAATAAACAGATGTAAATGGAATTATGTTTTTTTCAGAGCCAGACCACTGGGATCAACGCAGTGCTGCTTATTTTCTCTATAATGCAGTTCATCATTTCCATCTGCGTCTCAGCTTTTGCCTATAAATCCACCTGCAAAGCTGAACCTTCTGTGGGTATTAGAATGAATAAAGTCATTTAATACCAAATGGATCTTAGATGAAAAAATTTGTCTTTGTTTACCTTTGTTATTTAGTTTTTTGTTTTGACTATCCTCCCTATCCTCCCTGCTATCTGCTGCGATGACCTTCTGTATTGCCTCACCCTGTACAAACTTTGGAGCTAATTAAACTCCCTGTATGTCTGTAGGTGAATGTCACTGTGGTTCCAAACCGAGTAGGATGTTGTTCAGTGGTCAATCCATTCCCTGCCCACAACATACAACAGGTAAGAGAGGCTTGTACACTTTTGATAAGAGTTCCTATCCTATCCAAAACAATTGATTTTCAACATCTTTTGCATTTGGTACAACCTCATAGTCTCTAATGTAATAATAATAAACCTTATTCATTTAACATATTCACTTATCATTTTTATTTTGCTTCACAAAGTGCTTTACAAGGAGAATGAAATGAAATAATTCAAGATGTATAAATAAAAAACAGTACATTTCCAAATGTGGGGGTGACTGATATTCTAGTGGTAAGAAAGATGACCCTGCAAAGGGAACGCTGTGGGTTCAAATCCCAGGACTGACTATTCAATCTTGGCTGGACACCTAGCTGTGGGCTCGTTAAGTGGAGTACAAAATTCCTTCACAATGAGTTAGCCTGGCTAACGTCCTCAGCCTTTTTAGAAACACAATTTCCTGATGGTAAAATGCTAATCTAAACTAGTTCTTTTATTACCTTGTGTGTCAGACACTAAACACAAAAACTCATGCTTACGTTGTAAAGAACTGATGTAACTTTACAGTAAATATTTACAATAACACTACTTTCTTTAATCATTCTAAATCACACTTATTGTGCTAATACTGTGTTAATTCTGGGAGTTGAGAAGGAAATGTCCAAATGCTGAGTTTCATTTTTAGAGTTATAGTACGAATTCCAGGATCTCTAAAAGATTCCACAAAAGCAATCAGGAAAATTAAGGAACTTGGTTCAAATTCCACAGCATTCAAGCCTTCTTGAAATGAAAATTGAATGAGTATATGTAAAGTTAAATGCTTTACACAATGAACCTAATGAATGAATCTAAAATTTGCATAAATATTTATATAATAGCAATGAAGCACTGTAGATGTTTGTCAGTGAATCAGTAGGCTGATGCTATGGTTATAGTTGTATACAGTGTGAGTCGTGGCTGAGATGATTGGCATAGCAAATACTGTGATTCGTTGTAATTTTTAATTTTGATGAAATACCTTGTTTACTAAATTTGTATAATTTCTTTACACTGTCAGAAAAAACGTTCCAAACTGTGACTGGGGTGATGCCCACATGGGTATGTCCTTATTACCTTTAGTTAAGGAACATAATTGTACCATAATCCATTGAAATTATATTTTCTATATTGTATTGACTCCACACACACCTGTCTTGTCTTCAGGCTTTTTGTTTTAAAACATTAGAGTGTCCAAAGGTACAAATATAGACTTTTCACCTTGGAAAAACCTATTTAAGGTATGCAATTGGACCTCAAAACCACTGTTGTACCTTTGAAGGTACATTTACATGGTTTGTATCATGACGATCAAAAAATGTTCCTGCACAGAACCTTTTTTCTGACACTGCATCATTTACCAGTACAATTATACATTAACAACCCTCTTAAAAGAAAAAGGATTTAAAATTAAGTCTTGGTTTAGACATTTGTACCACGACTCAACTGACCAGATGCTTGCAGATAAAATTTGAAAAGAAGGCTTTACTGGTTAGAACATAATCCAAACTTGTGGTCAGAACACAGGCACATGTCAAACCCAAAACAACCAAAAAATAGGGAAAAACATAACAAACATAATTATAAAAGCAAAGGCAAATCCAAAAACACAGTCCGATACACAAAAAGGTCGTAGGTCATAGGTCAAAAGAAAGAAACAATACCTCGCAAAGATTTAACTAAAAGCCTGGGCTTTAAATACTAACTATCACAAGTCATATGACAAACAAAACAGGTGTATCGGATGAGTATTCAGGCAAGGGGGAATGACGATTGGCTGAGGATGGTGTTGTGACAGTCACCAAGGGAGTTCTGGGAATTGGGGTTCTCTAGAAAGTCAGATACGGAGGGATGTGTGACAACATCAAAAGTCTTTCTTTGGCCTGTAAAAAGGTTCTCATTGACCAAAATCTATAAAATTATATATTTTGTGGGCTGTTTGCATGGCTATCTTCAATACTTTAGATTTTAATAGTAAATTAAAAAGGGCATATCTTGGTCCCGAGGAAGACATTTCAAGGCCTGTCTGTCTGCTTTTAGCAGAGTTTATTCACTAGGCATGGATCCAAGAGGAGAAAGCACAGCTGCTTTAGACTAATCACATGTTTTAAGTTTTTCATATATTAGCCATAAAATAAACCACTAACAAATTTCTTGTATTTTCACAAAGACTGACACTTCTAAAAATGATTTGGTGGTAACAATGTACAACAACAACGTACTTATAAATCACTAAAATAAATTAGGAGGTGATAAATAAATGTTTGATCAAAAATGGCATTACATTACATTAAAATGTGTTCCAGTTCTGTACTGTATATTTACAGCACTTTACCACCAACTAAGCTGCTGGTTACTTGCTATACAGATTTTACAGTATACAGCTTTAACAATGTTTGCCTATTCTTTGCTTTACAGTATCCAATGTACGCAATCAGTGGTGCCACCATGAACAGTCCACCAATGGAAAGTCCTCCAGAGTACACAGAGATAAAATGCCAGCCAGAGAACTGAGACTACACAATTTCCATATGAAACACCACAATAGCTCTATATATGTCACTTCACTATGTACACTTCCTTGTATCTATGCTTACTGACCATTTTATCATATAGGAGCACTTTGTAGTTCTACAATTACTTTGTTACCCTATTCTTCAAAGGTCAGGACCCATTCCTCACTCTTAGTTTAATAATGCCTCAATGATTTTGCATTGGTGACCAAGTAAATACTGAACATTAAGCCTTAAAATGTGGACATACAAAGAATTTTTTAAAAAAAGGGTGATTGGAATGCTGAGAGTAAGAAAATGCAAAAGACAAACCAGTCTACCAATTGGTAGAGCGAAGATCAAGATCAACATTGTACCACTTATAATCCACCGTGTGAGCACTGGGACAGTGGTGATGAACGAGGAGTGGTGGCGCTATCAAGGGGCTCTGGAATGCCAGGAATATGAGTACTGTAAATCCCAGTGTCTGCTGCGTAAGACCCAAGGAGTAGTGTGCATACTCAGCATATGGAGAGGGCATGGCACACATAAATGGAAAAAATGTGAATACTGAGGGGAAACAGAACTGAAGGGTTTACTGCAAGACCACCTTACATAAAAAATGAAAGAAAATGAGAAATACATTTAGTGCATGTCTGATAAATACAAGTAACTGAAACTTTACAGTGTAAGGTAGAGAAAACTACATTTATTCTTTGAAAGAATCTTAGCAGAATTGTTACTTTCAGTGAGCAAATTTCTTTATTTTTGTAATTGTTGAACAATTTTTTTTTTCCTTTTTGTAATTGATGAGCAAATGTCTTCCTTTTTGTAATTGCTGAGCAGATTTCTTCCTTTTTCCAATTAAAAGTCACTAATTCATTTCACTCTTAGCCTAATTGTAATTCACTCTGTAAATGTCTGCTAAATGTTCAGCACTGGGATATAAACATTTAAAATGGTGAACCTGGTTAACTTTGGATTAGGTACTGTAAAATGTTTAAATATGATCAATTAATATTTTTATTTATTAATTACTGTATGGAGATGTCCTACTGACTACGCAGTGTAATTGACAATGTGTTAACACGTATATGACATTAAAATCCATATTCATTAATTGGTTGTGAGCCTCTAAAAATATTAACTAACAGTGAGGAGTTTGGACCTTAGTTCAGATACTGAAAAAAAACTCAGTAACTAATAAATGTATAGCTTCAACATATAGTTTGCAAGCATATATGAACCTCAGACTAATTCTGTACTAATTCTGTTACCTACTTTATGAAATTAAAAAAGGTCTAGAATTAATGAATCCTTTTTTTGATGCAGATCAGTTTTAACTTTACTCGTGAGTTTCCTCAATATTCAGTCATAACACAGACTTACTGTCACTTTATGAGACACATGAAACTTGCTGGAACACACTGTAGGTGAACAGGAGCACAGAGCCGCTCTTGATTCAGTGTAAAAGTGGCTCATCAGATCTACCTAAAAAATATCTTCATGTGGTAACAAGTAAATGAACTAGTTTTATTCAACCTAAATACATACTTTGAATGAACGATTCTTTCAAAGTATTTTTTTGAGTTGAATAAAACTAGTTCAATTACTTGTTACTACATGAAGTAATTTTGTAAGTATATCTAATGAGACACTTTGTACAGTGTTGGATATTTTTGGGTGTTGGACCCTTCTCGACCTAACAGGGACAGCGAGGCATGTAGAACCACAGCAGCACCACTGGGTTTTAAACACTTGTAGTAGCACCACACATACTACCATTTCAGTGTCTTAATGCTGTAAAAAATGGCTCATCAGATCTATTGTGGTAACAAGCAACTGAACTAGTTGTATTGAACCTAAACAACTTTGAACGAATGATTCTTTCAATCAATGTAGTTGTTTAAGTCTAATAAAATGAGTTCAATTGCTTGTTACTACATAATGTTTTTAGGTAGATCTGATGAGCCACTTTTCACAGTGAACCTTTACTTAGGAACATCTGAGTAAATGTAAGTGTCCACTTGTTCACACCTCACAGGTTTTATCATAGTTAGAATCAAGGCTGATGCTTTGTTAAGTAAGTGCAAATTCAAAGAACTAAAGCTACATTTTCTGTTTGAGGAGCCTAATAATTAGGAATTAATGGAACTTCTGCTTTCTAGAGCAAACAATGTGAATATATGTATATGACCACAAACATACATATATGCACTGTAAAAAAAAATAAAAAAAAATAAAAAATGACTTCATGTGGTAACAAGCAACTGAGCTAGTAAAAAAAAAAAATATTTATTTAGTTTGAATAAAACTAGGTAATTTACTTGTTACCAAAAGAAGTAATTTTAAGGTTGAACTGACAAGCCATTTTTTTTACAGTGTGACCACTTTTTCTTTCTTGATTTCTTTTTCCTTTCTTTCTTTCTTTCTTTCTTTTGTCTTTCTTTCCTTCTTTTTTCTGTCTTTTTTCTTATGTTCTTATAATTGATAATACATGACAATTTCTACATTTTTAATTCATCTGAAAATGTTCAAGTTTTCATTATGTATGACGTTATGTGAGGTTACATGAGTTTACTGTTAACAGGCTTTCCAGGAAAAAGCCAGAGAAATGAACCCGCCCCCGAATTCCTTTTCTATGGAAAGCTGAGCAAAAGCTGCTCCTCACTGAGGATGTCGAAAAGAAAACAAGCTGCTTTCGTCACAGCACAGGGGCTTGGGGTGAGATTTAGTAGCACAGCTCACACTGCCTTCATAGATTACATGCACGTCCTTTCCCGGATTCTATGTTTCACAAAAGAGCACAAAGCTGTTCGGTATAAGACACTGAATCTGAAATTTACCATGCATTTCAGATAACAGCAGCTTGGAAGAAAAGTCATTCAGAAGAGGACAAGAGACAGGAAACACCAAACCACACTCCACAAAGAAAACAACAGCACTTCTTTTCAGGAAACTGAGTTTGATTGTCTCCACTGGTGGGCGACTTCAGAGACTTCTGAAAGTAGAACCAAAATCATTAGGAGTAAGTAACCTGTATCAGCCATGTGTTGTACCATTTGTACCACCTTTAGCAGCAACAGCTTGAACCAGACACTTCTTATGGCTGGAGATGAGTCTTTCACATCTCTGTGGAGGAACCACACTGGAAAACTTCTGAGCATGAACTGCCCAGTTACGGTCTTGCCTCAGTAACTCAATGAGGGTTAACTTAGGACTTTCACTAGACCACTCCAAAACATTTGCTCTTGTTCTTCAGAATGTTGTCTTACTTCATAATCCAATTGCTTTAGATGGACTGATGACCAGATTTCTCTGGTAGAGAGCAGAATTCATGGTTCCGTCAAGTCCGGCAAGCCATGAATCATCATTCAATCATCATTCCCAAGCCATTACACTGCCACCACGTTTCGCTGTTGGTGAGTTGTGTGAATTGTGGAATACACACAACATTATGGCAAAAGTGTTGGGGGTAATCAGGGTGTTTTCTGGCAAATGTAAAATGAGCCTTTATGTTCCTCTTGGTTTGCAGTGGTTGTTGCATGTGAAGAGAGCTGCATTTCCTTAAGTGTTCATCTGAGTTATTTTGTGATGTCCTGAATGAGTCATCAGTGAACCCTGGGAGGGATTCTGCTAGGTTCGCCACTTCTGGAAGATTCGTCATTCTTCCAGGTTTTCTATATTTGGAGATAATGGCTCTCATTGTGGTTTAATGGAGTCTTGGAGCCTTAGGAATGTCTTCTTTTCCAGACTGATATAGTTCAATAACTTTCTTTCCTACTTCTTCCTGAATTTCTTGTCCGCGATGTAGTGTCCTGCTAGCCCGCTTTACACTGCAGGAAAGTTTCTGTTTAGGTGATGTTAAGATATTACCAGAGCCGGCAGTAATTAAGCCTCGTTGAGTCTAGTCTAAGTAATCAACTAAACTTGGTTGATTGTTTGGTTGAGAAACTAATTATTTACACAGGGCCAGTTGGTGTTGGATAACTTTCTTCCCTCATTAAATGAAATTGTCTCTTTTGTGTTTACTCAGGTGGCTTAAATTACATTTTGATTGAAGATCTAAAACAAGTATTTATATAGTATTTGCTCCCCATCTTCCAGGTTTTCCCTGGACATGTATTCTCATTAAAAGATCTCATTTGGCCCCACAACACTAAGCAACATGATGCTAGAGGGCTTTGTTTATAGAAATAATACAGCAGATGAGGTGAGGTACAGTGTGAAGTACAGTTTTTATAACTCTTGTGTCTGTACATTAAGACATAATTAATATTGCTGCTGTTGCATATACATTTTACATTTTTCATTTGATACAAATCCGTTTTTCATTGCTCTTGTCAGTGATCAGGCTTTTGTCAGTGCTAGTATATTGCAAATGATCCTCCACACAAATAATATCCCTACAAATTCTTAATAAGAGAAGCTCCCCACTTTACATTAAGAATCTTTGATAACTGTGTAGTTACACATTAACAATAATCTACTGGTGATGTATTCAGTGTTAGAGATGGATTACAGTAGTACAGCTTTTGTAAGTACACATGTACCATGACTGTTTAACAGCATAAGTTCTCCCATGTTATTAGATTCGCATAATATAAAGTGTAATTACATGTTTGTGAACATCTTTGTTCAGAATCCTTTTCTGATTGTGATCCAAGAATAGAAAATACCACTGCCTTATTCGTATTCATATGCCACAGAATGTACCACCAACAAAATTCTTGTATTTCACAAACACTTCTAAAAATGATCTTCAGTGACAACTTTTTATAGCATATATATGCAAATCACACAAACAAGGAGGTGCTGAACAAATATTTGATGAAAAACAGCATTATATTCCATTAAAATGTGCTATAGTTCTGTACTGTATATTTACACTGGCAAGCTGCCGACAACTTGCTATACAAATTTTACACTTTGCAACTTTAACAATTCGTGCATATTCTTTGCTTTACAGTATTTAATGTATGCAATCAATGGTGCCACCATGAACAGTTCACCAGTGGAAAGTCCTCCAGAGCACAGTGAGATAAAAGGCCAACCAGAGAACTGAGAAAAACACAATCTCTACCTGAAACAACACAATAACACAATATATGCACTGAGTGGAGGATGAAGGATTATTCTCAGCACTGCAGTGACACTGACGTGATGGTGGCATGTTTAGGTGTGTTGTGCTAGTGCGAGTGGATCCGACACAGCAGCGCTGCTGGAGTTCTTACGCACTCTGTCCACTCTATTAGACACTCCTACCTTGTTGGTCCACCTTGTAGATGTAAAGTCAGAGACAGTGTGTGTTGCTCATCCTTTTTCCTTCAAAAGTGGTCAATCATTCAAATAAAGGAGGACAAATGGCAGGCAGGTGCGGGAAAAAAAGGGCGTTGCTGGGAGTAAGAAAATGCAACAGACAAACCGGTCTTCAGTTGGTAGAGCGAAGATCAAGAACTCACATCGTATCACTTACTATCCACCATGTGAGCAATGGGACAGCGGTGATAAGTGAGGAGTGGTGGGGCTATCAAGGTGCTCTGGCATGCCTGGAATATGATCACTTCACTGTAAACCACAATGTCTGCTACGTAGACCCCAGGAGTGGTGCCCATTCTCAGAATATATGTACACGTATGCAAACACGCTTTTTCTTTCTTTTTTGTGGTGCTGCCTTCATGTAAACCAGGCTATGCCACCCCTTGGTTTATAGCTAGAGCAAAGGGGAGCTCTCTCCACAAGAAATTCACAAACACAGGTTTAAAAAAATTCAAAACATAGCCTTTATTTAATGTACTTGAAGTCATACAATCACAGGAGTATCAAAAATATAAATAAAAACAATAATAAAAGATTCAAAGCATCTCTGGTGATAATCAAGCATTATGAAATAATAATATAACTACCAAATATTATGATTAGTATCACTTGAGAATAAATTCTAAAAGCAGATATTGATGAAAAAAATTCCAAACAATATACACTAATCCTTTAATCATTCCAAACACACTGCACTGCAAATGTCTGCCACTTTAGTGAATACAGCACAATTACCCTCAGTTATCCATTAGACCCCAACCTCCCCTGACTTGATCCCACCTGAACTGCAGTAAACATAGAAAATAAAAATAAATAAAAAAAAAAAAAAAAAAACACAGCAAACCTATCTAGCCAGTGGCTCACAATACACTAAATACTCATTTACACCTTCACTATACAGCCAACAGGCTAGACGGAAGTTTAATACTCTCTTTAAATTTTAGAACAGCATGTCCAGTAAAATTTAAAAGCTATTATAACAGTTGTGATAGAACAGCATCTGGCACAGTGTATAAGCTGTATCAATCTATGAAAATACGAACATTTTTAACATTCACCTCATGTAACACACACAAATACACTAACTTAGTGAACTTATCACCAAATATGAACAATGTAAAGCAGAACGTACCAAATTCTCAGGAACAACTTGTTAGCATGGCTCAGGAAAATGTACTTACATCTAAAACTAGAAAGAGAAAGTTCGTGAACAAACTTTAAGTTGGCTTGAACAAGCCAGTTAATTATGTTAAAACATTAAAATGGTTAAAGACTGCTGATAGTTGTTAAAATGTTGCACAAATTTTGTTGAGCAGAAGCTGCAGAATCCGTGGTGGATGGAAATTTTTTGCTAAGTTCTACAGTGAATGAAGTTCCACCTTAAATTCTGTGCCATGTTAATTTTAGAGCTACTTTAAACTAAGTTCCACCTTAAAGTCTGTGCCACCTTAAATTTAGTGCTATGTTCATAGTGGTTCCACCTTAAATTTAATGCTATGTTAATTGAAATTCCAACTCAAATTCTGTGACACCTTAAATTCAGTGCTATGTTAATTCCAGTTCCACCTTTAATTCTGTGCCACCTTAAATTTAGTGCTATGGTAATTGCAGTTCCATCTTAAATTTATTGCCACCTTAAAAAGAGTTCCATTTTAAATTCAGTGCCACCTTAAAAGAAATTCCACCTTAAATTCTGTGCCACCTCAATTTTATTGCTATGTTAATTAAAATTCCACCTTAAGTTCAGTGCTAACATAAATGCAGTTCCACCTTAATTTCAGTGTCAGTGTAAACTCAGTGCTACCTTAAAAGAAGTTCCACCTTAAAATTAATGCTATTTTAATTGAAGTTCCACCTTAAATGCAGTGCCATGTTAAATTTAGTGCTATTGTATGCCACCTTAATTTTAGTACAATGTTAATTAAAGCTCTACGTTCATTTCTGTTCCACCTTAAATTTAGTGATATTAGCAGTTCTAGCTTAAATTGTTTGCTATGTTAATTGAAATTCCACCTTAAATTCTGTTCCACCTTAAATTTAGTGATGTTAATAGCAGTTCCACTTTAAATTTACTGCTATGTTAACTGAAGTTCCACCTTAAAAATGTTTACTGAAGTTCCACCTTAAATTCTGTGCCATCTTAAATTTAGTGCTATGTTAATACCGGTTCCACCTTAAATTTAATGCTATTTTAATTGAAATTCCACCTTAAATTCTTTGCCATCTTAAATTTTGTGCTAGTTTAATTGAAGTTCCACCTTAAATTCCCTTCCACCTTAAATTTAGTGATTACGTTAATAGCAGTTCCACCTTAAATTTAATGCTATGTTAATTGAAGTTCCACCTTAAAATAAGTCCTATGTTAATAGCAGTTCCACCTTCATTTTAATGCTAGGTTAATTGAAATTCCACCTTAAATTCTGTGTCATCTTTAGTGTTATGTTCATTGAAGTTCCACCTTAAATTTATTGTTATGCTAATTGAAGTTCCACCTTAAATTCAGTGCTAGCTAAGTGCAATTCCACCTTAAAAAATCATTATGTGTGCTGATACTGCTGAGCATTAGGCTGAGAGCATGTGAGACATTGTGCTCCGTGCGAGTTTGTGTGTGTGTGTGAGGGAGGTGGCCATTGTGACATCATGTTTGGCATGCTGCCAACAGTTCGCCCATTCATGGGAAAAAATATCGGCTTTGAACGTTAATTTTTCCGGAAACCGTACGTCGGATCGGTCCAAAAAGCACAAGCGCACTATTCTCGTATATGAGGAACGTTTGTGCAAAATTTGGTGGTTGTACGTCAAAAACTGCGGGCTGTGAAAAGTTTACAAAATTTGAGCACAGAATAATAATAATAATAATAATAATAATAATAATAATAATAATAATAATAATAAGATTACGAAGAACAGTAAGTTGGCTTTTTCAAGCCAACTTAATAAATAATTAGTCTTCTGTATAGTCCATATTAGCATATTTATTTGCAGTAAAAACAACTAGCAGCAGTGATTATAAGCAGCAATAAGGCTAGCAGTAAAAGCTGGAAGCTACATTCAAATGCTGTGTGAACCTCCACAAAGCAGCAGTGTTACTTAGCTGAATGCTAATGAAGATTAAAAAAAAAAAAATACCCACCAAAACAAAAAACAGAAGCATTTGGACAATACAAAACATACCTGGTACAGTAATACGGCGGACGATGTAAATCAGAAGCTACACTTGGTGTTTGTTCCCTCGAGAGTAGCCATGCTAGCTACTTGGCTGAATGTTAATAGAACACAAACCAACATCAAATTACTGGCCGTAGCCGAGCAAACAGAAACCATAGCAATACAGGTGGTGCTCTCGGCAGCACATCTTATCGTACTTAGTCACACTAAACAAATTAAAACGTTTAAAATGTACACCACCGCTGAGTCGCCAATCACACTAACGTTAGCTTAACTCAGCTCCAAGAGGCTACTGCTAACAGGACCCAACGCGTCTCATTGGTGCCCGTCCGCCTGTACCGCGCACTAGCCGAAAAGAAACACACTTTAATTACTGAATACTGACATAACAGCAAAGACAAAGAAGGCGACATACAACCCAACACACCTTTATGCAGCCAATGCTGGATAAGGAGCTCCAGCATCAGGGAACACTGTTATAAACACCCCCGTCCCCCGCTAGCTTAGCCTAGAAGCAATGAAACGAAACTACTCCCAGAACCCCAAGGTGGCTACACATATGCCTGCTCTTAATACCCCAGCTGGCTCAGTACGTGTCTGCTCCCCTAATGAATGACATACACCCGACAGGAAAGGTCTTGTACTGCACAGCCTACATGTCTTTTTTGCTTTCTTTCTTTATTATGTTCTTGCAATTAATGCTATATTTCAAATTTGTCCATTTTTAATTTACTTGAACTTTGTTCAAGTTATTATTGTGTATGACGTTATGTGAGGTTACTTGAGTGTAACAGGCTTTCCGGGAAAAGCCAGTAAAAGGAACACTGCCCCCGTCCTCTACGCCCTCATCCCCCGCCCTCTACATTTTCTTTGGAAAGCTGAGCACCAGCTACTCCTCACTGAGGATGCACGATGCAGTAACAGAAACAAGCTGCTTTCGTCACAGCACAGAGGCTCAGGGTAAGTTTTAGTATCAGCTCACACTGCCTTCATAGATTACATGCACGCCCCTTTCCCGGATTCTACGTTTCACAAAAGAACACAGAGCTGTTTCTGAAATTTACCATGAATTCCAGATAACCTCAGCTTGGAAGGAAAGTCATTCAGAAGAGGAAACAAAGAAAACAACAGCACTTCTTTTCAGGACACTGAGGTTGATTTTATATTTCATAAATTTCCATGAACATGTAATTTTTTTATTATTATCTATGTATCATAATAATCTACTTATAACAGGTTTGTGCTGGTTTCATGCTCATTTTGGTGTTTCACATAAGCAAAAAATAAGTTTATTTCACTGTAGCTGCCTAATATATAGCGCTTATCTGAATGTTTTATCATATTGACCGTTTTTTTACCAATCTAAATACACAGTAGATGTATTATTGGTTTATTTTTCAGTGTGACATGCCATTCACGTGTGTACTTCATGTATGCTGTTCATGTTTCATTTGTCTTAGTTTACTTAGTTTATTTTAATCTTGTTTTCAGTATTTCTGCATTAAGGACAATATTAATTTAAGATGATGTAGCTCTGTGAAACAACCATATTTGAACATTGTGAACAATTCCAGTATTTGAACAAAGATGAGAACACAACAGTAAGAGAGCAGCAGGTCCTGTTTAAAATGAACAGAAATTGAGAATTCAAATTAGGAAATTCAAAATCTTTTAACTGCTGCCAGATATCAGTGTTCTGTAGTGCTGACACTGTGAGGAATGTTTGGTTTTTCACAGGTGAATAATTCAGTTCACTGTAAAGATGTCTGACACTGCTGCTTCGCTCTCTAACACGGGGGGTGGCTACACCATTGTGACCCACGTGATCTCCCCACCAACATCAACTGAACCTGGGCAAATTGTCTCCACTGGAGGTCCGCTTCAGAAATTTCTGAAAGGAGAACCAAAAGCATTAGGAGTAAGTCATTGAAGCAAGTCATGTGCTACCCTGGGCACAAGGAGGATGCTGGAGGCAGGGTGCAGAGTTGCAGCAGGCATTTCACTATAATTCGAAGCTCAAACACAGCCACAACAATGAAACAAAACCAAAGACACTCAAGCCACTTTTCATTAGCTTCTAGCTAGATTTTTCAGTTCTTTTCTTACTCAAGCTTTTCAGCTCTTCAGTTCTCCTGGGCTTCTGCTCACCCCTGTTCTCTCGAGTTCGGGCTGGGACTGGAGGCTTGAGGGGGGTGAGACACATGTACACTGAAGGTTGCCGCTCCACCAGCAGGCTCCTGACCATCTGGTCACCACCTGATGCTCCTCAAGCTGTTTCCATCACTTTTCAGCGTCATGGAAGACAGCTTGCAGCTCCCGCCAGCTGGTCAACGTGAGGCAAAGTGAAGCAGCCTCGCTGCAGAACAGGGGGCGGGGCCCAGGCAGCCGAGTTTGGGAGTTGCTTCCCACCTTTGTGCCTCTCGTTATAAAAATACATACATGGGCGCTAGTTGAAGAGAGTAGGTCAAAAACATGTGTGAGTCAAAGCCAGTATAACAAACAGTCTGAAACAACAGTACCAAAAAGAGGAACCAAGAAACGAGAAACCAAAAAAAAAAAGATACAAAAAGGAAAATGAAGGCTCGATATGCAACAGGTAAAGCTGCAGTGTTTCGCAATATGTATGCTTAGCAACAAGTATGACAAACAAACATGTATTTGGGTCATTCTACAGAAACATCCATTTTTGTGTCCCTTGTGTTTACAGTTATAGTACTTTTGAAAAACATGTTAAGGTTCCAATTTATTTAGAACCCATTTCCAACGAAGTTGGGATGCTGCACAAAATGCAATAATATGCAAATCATTTAAACCCTATATTTCATTGAAAATAGTACAAAGACAACACATCAAATGTTGAAACTGAGAAATTTGATTGTTTTTCAAAAATATGTGCCCATTTTAAATTTGATCCCAACAACACATTTCAAAAAAGTTGGGATGGGGGCAACAAAAGGCTGGTAAGGTAAAACACCTGGTGGTTAATTGGCAACAGGTCAGTAACGTGATTGAGTATAAAATTACCTTCTCAGAGAGGCTGAGTCTTTAAGAAGTAAAAATGTAGAGGGATTCACCACCCTGTGAAAGACTGCACAGGCAAATTGTGCAACAATTCAAGAATAATGTATCTCAATGTAAACTAGCAAAGAACTTGGGGATTTATCATCTACAGTGTATAATGTCATTAAAAGGTTCAGAGAACCTGGAGAAATCTCCGTATGCAAGGGACAAGGCAAAAATACAATTAAAAAAGACATGATTCTGTAGTGTAAATTACTGCATGAGCTCAGAAACACTTCTGAAAAACCACTGTCTGTGAAAACAATTCATTACTGCATCCACAAATGCAAGTTAAAACTCTAAAACACAAAGAAGAAATCTTATATAAAAAGGATCCAGAAATGCTGCCGCCTTCTCTGGGCCCAAGCTCATTTAAAATGGACTGACAAATCAAAATGTGAAAATTTGAAAATCATGGACAATTTGTGCTCTGGGCTATAGAGCACTCAGCTTTTTATCCGTGCACAGTTCAAAAGCCAGTATTCATGTTGGTATATGGGGGGCATTATTGCACATGGCATGGGTGATGTGCACATCTGTGAAGGCACCATCAATGCTGAACAATGGATACATGTTTTGGCAACATATGCTGCCATCCAAACAATGTCTTTTTTTCAGAGAAGGCCCTGCTTATTTCAGCAAGACAATGACAAACTACATGCTGCATGTATTACAGCCTCATGGCTCCATATTAAATGAGTCTGGGTGCTAAACCTGCCTGCCTGCAGTCCAGACCTGACATCCACTGAGAACATTTTGCGCTTTATGAAATGAAAAATACTCTAAATGAGATGCTGAACTATTAAGCAGCTGAAATCCTATATCAAACAAGAACGGGAAAACATTTCACTTTTAAACCATTGCAGTTGGTCTCCTCAGTTCCCAAATGCTTGCAGATTGTTGTCAAAAGAAGAGGTGATGTAACATAGTGGTAAACATGCCCTCTTTTTTGGAACATGTTGTTGGCATCAAATTCAAAATGGGCATATATTTTTCAAAAAACAATCCAATTTCTCAGTTTCAACATTTGATATATTGTCTTTGTAGTATTTTCTTTTAAAAAATTGGTTTACATGATTTGCATATCATTGCATTCCATTTTTATTTACATTCTGCACAGTGTCCCAACTTTTGTATCTTTTAAAATAATACATTATTTTAACAATTACACCTTCTTAAGCCATCAATTTAGCAATATTGTTTTTTAAATCACTTATATAGAATTCCAAGCACAACAGAAGCGCTTGTCCTCACAGTCATATGTGCATCAAGGGTAAGTGCCATATTTTCATGATTAACAATCACAATACACAGTTTTTAATATGAAAATTTTATGTACTGAAGGAAAAAGTTTTGCAACATCCATATCACTCACCTGTTGTACCACCACTCCTGCCAATTTTATCAGCAACTGCTTCAACCAAGCACTTCTTATGACTGGAGATGGGTCTTTCATATGTCAAGACTTTCAAGCATGAATTGCCCATTTAACGTCCTGCCTCAGCAACTCAATGAGGTTCAAGTTAGCCGCTCTAAAATCTTTGCTCATTGCTGCATAGCCCAGTTGTAATTGTTCTTCACATCGTGAACTGGTTACCAGACATTGTCCTGCAGGATTTTATGGTAGAGAGCAGAATACATGGTTCCGTCAATTATGGCAAGCCACAAATCAGCAATTTATCCCCACGCCATCACACTGCCACCACCATGTTTCTCTGTTGGTATGATGTTCTCATTGTGGAATACTGTGTTAGCTTTATGCCTGATGTACTTTTTGACTTTTGACTTATCAGTCCACTGAACATTATTCCAAAAGCCTTTGTACATCTGAGTTGACCAGGACCTGTGGTTCTATAGATGTTCATTGGGGTCCTTTTGTGATTTCCTAAATGAATCTTCTTTGTGCTTTTTGGTTTGATTGGCTGGTCACTTCTGGAAGATTCACCACTCTTCCACATTGTGACGATGCAACAGAATTCAGACGCTCGTGCATGAAAAATGTGAACAGGGCTTTATTCACGTTCGACAAAGGCGTGGTCAAAAAACATGCGTGGGTCATAACCAGAAAGCAGCAAAATATCACCGAAGTGATCATAACCAAAAGCAAACAAAACCAAGGGAGTGATCAGATATCGTCGTCAAAAACCAGGCCAAAAAGTCAAAACACAGATCCAAAAACAGTCAGCAAAGGTACAAGAAGGGACAGGCAAAAATCATGGTCAGTTACACAAAACGGAGGTCATAACAGGCAGTCGCAAATAGATCATAGAAACGCTCAGCAAGTTCAAATAGAAACAATACCTCGCAACGACTAAGACTAAAGCCCGGGCTTATAAACTATACTAGATGAATCATATGACAACAAACACAGGTGCATATATTTAGTACTCAGGTGATTGTGAGCGCTGATAGGTGCGTGCATGACCATCCAAAGTCATATGATCTCCCGAGGGATTGTGGGCAATGGAGTCCGTTCTGGACTCCGCGTCCGAGGTAAGTTGCTCAGTCACATGATCTCCTAATGCACTGTGGGAAATGTAGTCTGAGTCCGCCTGAGGCGTGACACACATTTTCTCCATTTGGACATAATGGTTTTGCTTTTGGGTTAAAGGAGTCTCAAAGCCTCAGAAATGGCTGTGTAACCCTTGATGGACTGATATGTTTCAGTAACTTTCTTTCTCAATTCTTCCTAATTACTTTTTTTTTTGTGTTGTAGTGTGCTGCTGGCTTACTTCACACTGCTTGAAAGGTTCAATTTAAGTGATATTTAGATTAAACAAAGCCAGCAGTAATGAAGCCAGGGTGAGTCTATTTAAGGGGTTGGCAACTCAGATGTTAAGAAGAGCCATTCTGTCTTTTCAATAACAATCAAATCACCTTGGGAGCCACAATATTTTATGTCCGTTTTACCATATTGGCTGTAAATATGTTTCAGTATGTGCTAATGTCTTAGTATAGGCCAAAAATATTAATGAAAAAATGCTTACCTCAACTTACTTTCCTCTTTTGCGACTTTTTAGAGTTTCACAGTTTCTCGTTGCAGCTTAAACATATTAGGAAACCAACTGGAGTGATTATAAATGCAAATAAGTCCAATTGTCTCCAAATTATTAAGTGTCTTGGGTGTTTTGGGTGTTGAGCTAGAGAATACAAATTTATGTATATCCTGTTCAATGGTTTCCCACCAGTATCTGTTACCAGTAATTGTTGTGTACAAAGCTCACCAGGATGACCGTAACTAAGAGAGGAGTGAGCCCAGGTAATCAAACAGGCACGAAATTGACTAGTACATAAAGCTTATCAGGTGGACAGTTAGCAGAGACATTAACTCTTTCAAGTGTTTTAGTTATCTCATCATCAATTTCTCAACGAATGGATGAGATAGGATAGCACCAACTCTGTAAGCATGAAGTGTCTACCTCAACTATGAATGGCTTTGAAGGATCTGGGTGTTTTAGAATGGGTGAAGACTTTTTTTAGATTGTGAAAAGCTTTCTCTTCTGCTGCACCCCATGCTAACTTTTTAGATTCTCCCTTAAGAAGAACTGTGAGAGGTGCGGAGATAGAACTGAAGTTGCTTCAACTGCTTCAACTTTCTGCCCATCCATGAGAATTCCCTGTGCGCTGATTATGTTCCCTAGAAAGGAGACTCTTTCTAAATGAAATTCACATTTCTCTCCCTTGACGAACAAATCATTCTCTTGTAGGAATTGCAAACTTGATAGACTTGATGTATATAGGTGTCATAGTCGGGTGAATAGATCATGATGTCATCGATGTACGCAATGACAAATTTTCCTATCATGTCACCGAAGATGTTGTTGATGAAAGATTGAAAGACTGACGGGGCATTAGACAGACCAAAAGGCATGACTGAATACTCGTAGTGCGCCCTAAAGGTAATGAACGCACTTTTCCATTCATCCCCCTCCTTGATGCGTATCAAATTGTAGGCATTATGAATGTCTAATTTGGTGAAAAAACTGGGCACCCCGAAGTTGTTCAAGGGCGACAGGCATAAGAGGTCAGGGATAGGCAAATGTTTCAGTGATGTTGTTGAGAGCTCGATAGTCAATACAAGGCCTGAGACTTCTTGACAAAGAAGAACCCTGATGCAGCTGGGGAAGTTGATGGACAGATAAAACCTTGAGCTAACGCCTCATCAATGTACTCTCCCATACATCTCTCTTCTTCTTGCATTAGTGGGTACGCACATGGTTTAAGCAAAGTAGCACCTTCTATGATATCTATAGAGCAATCATTAGGATAGTGAGGGGTAAGTTTAGTGGTATTCTTCTTGTTGAAAACTTCAAGCAGATCATAGTAATCAGGGGGAATTTATGTAATGTGAGTGGGTTCTGGACTCTCAAGGGTGGACTGAGACCTGAAGTTGAGCCACCACATCTAAACAAAGGAAGTTTCTCTCAGTTCCAGAGTCGATTAGCGCTGTAACAACAGAGAGAGAAGAATGACGGTAGAGGATGGTAACAGAAGTGCATACTTCGAAACCAACCCCTTTGTGGGAGCACTTACCACTGGATTTTAATCCATGTAATTGCGACTGGATAATCTCCTCACTGGATAGCCTGGAAGAGTCACACTGCATGGGTTCTGGAACCGAATTGGAGCAAGCACTGGACTGGTAGCAGGAGTTGGAACTGGAGCTGAAGCTGGGACTGGAACAGGAACAACTGAGTATGGGGAAAACTTTTATGCAAGGGTCACTTTTGTAGAAGTTGATCTAAGCATATGGAAGGGTCTACGAGCTGGTCAGGAGGCAGATTGTCATCTTTACATGCTAATTCGGTCAGAACTTCAGGATTGAGTCAGTTGCTAAATGCTACAAAAAGTGCAGGTTCATTCCAGTCACTGGCGGCTAGTGTACTGCCTTGCTTTAGCTTGCACAGAAGTTCTCTGTTTGAACGTCCTTTTTGAGGATGGTTGAAAATTGTCTTAAAGTCTTTCAAAAATTGCTCATGAGATAGATCTTGCAAACGAGACTACTCTGCGGTAGCCTATTCGAATACATTTTCCGAAAGACATGAAATAACAAAAACAATTTTAGCCTGGTCAGTACTAGCAGGGGTATTACTGAAACACACAGAGCACTGTAACAAAAACCCTCTACATTTATTAGGAGATCCATCAAACTTGTTGGATTCACTCATGGGGAATGTTGGGGTCTGTCTCACAGAAACTGGCTTGTTAGTAGTGGAAACTGAGAGTAGATGCAGGAGCTGTTTTAAAAACGGTTAGATCTCACAGCTGAGCAGCGATATCATTTATTCCAGACAGGAGCTGGGGAGCTGGGTCTGCTGCTCGGCATGTTGCTGAGTCAGGTTGCTGACTGACCGAATAACATCCACCAGCACTTGCTGATGATGACCCAGGAGCTGACCTTGTTTGTTAAGGACCTTCTGCACAGCCTCCATGTCTGCTGTCTGCGTGGTGGCGAAGTATCCTGTAACGGTGGCAGATGGAACCAGGCGCTCACTTTAGAGGCTTGAGTCAAGATCTTTAATGCCGAAGTGGTTGTCCAAAATCAAAGTTGGTAAAGAGAAGCAGAAAGTCAAAAATCAGAAAACCAATATAGAACAAAAGGGTAAAGCTAGAGTCAAGATCATAAATGGAAAATGGATCATACACAGGATAGCAGTCAGGAACATGGGAGGAACGCACATCAGTATGCACATGGACATGACAATACTTCTCAATGAGGGCTTACAAAGAGACTGGTTAAATACAGAGTGACAAAAGTGTGCAATTAGAAGTCCGGAGATGAAGAACGCTGATAGGTGGATTGGTGAGAGTCCTGAGTCATGTGATGCAGCAAGGAGTTCTGGGAATTGGAGTCCCGAGCGACCTCACTGGTTGTAGTTTCAGCCAGGCCAGAGGGAGGTGTGAGAGTATATTTGCTGTTATGATCTATATTTTTCTGCATTATTTTACTGATTTGACATGGAATGACATACAGAAACATTCCAAATCCTTATTTTATTTATATATCCTACATGCGCTTAAAGTTTCATTAAAATTCACTCATTTGAGTGCTACTGAAAATGTGTTTGCATAAGCTGCAATAGAGGTCTACAGTTTTCAGTATTCAAATGCAGTAAGTACTGATATCAATCAAATATCTGTTTTTTTTTTTTTCTTCCACAGATTGTTCAAATAATGATCGGTTTGTTGACATTCTTGCTTGGTATTCTGATAACCTACTACAGACCCGCATTGTCTGCCTACAGTGGAATTGTATTTTGGGGTGCTTTGGTGGTAAGCTTTATTCATTTATTCTATCACATAGAAATACTTCTATAAATATTCCCCAATACCAGGGGTATTGCAGATGAAACATATCAGAAAACCAGCTGAGTGTTTGTAAACGCAAATATGTAAGTTTTGCTCCAAATTACCGATGTTTGTCTTAAATCTTTCTCTGTGACTTTTCATTAGCTACTAGCTAGGCCAGACTGTTGTCTGTGTTGCTAAAGTGATCAGCAGTCTGCTTGCCAACCTTCAGGATTAAAGGGTGAATTAGCAATTATATATTAACTCCAGCATTTAAGACCATTTATTGTTAAAACTGTATTAGAACAATCAGCAGAGCTTTATTTTACTACAAAGGATTATTTTATTTTTACCTAAAAATGTAATTCTGTTGTGGAGCCACAACAGGGCAGTAAAAGAGCTGCATGTTGCTGACCCCTGCTCAATACCAATTTAAATGAAAACTGTTGCATTTTTCCTCTCATTCAGTACATCAGCACTGGCTCTCTGGCTGTTTCAGCAAGTAACAAGCTTCATCACTGTGTGGTATGTAAACACTAACTACAGTTTTAGTGTTTTTATGTTCATTGCAGAAAGATGCTTTGAGACTTATTACAATATTACTTTACATTAAAACTGTACTGTGTTGTCAATGCATTATTTATTTATAATTGATAAGTGAACTATATTATCTATTACTAAGAAATAATTAGGTCCCACTTTCAAACTGTTTTTTTTTCTCATGTTGTAAAACAAGCATATTCTGGTAGTTGTAACAGCATGTTTCTTCTTATGCAATTAGACATGTGTAACAGTGTGATGGTAATCATGTTTGTATCAACTGAGGTTTAATTACCTACATTATGAGAGTATTTACATTGCATCTGCATAGGAACTGATAACATTCGTAACATTTTGCTTGTTGTATGCTTGTATATTCGGGCATGTTAACCTAATCAAAGTCTGTAATGTTTTAGAATATTAATCCTGTCTTTTTGATGGTCTGTATATAGATGCAGTAAAATTGAAGATTATTAATTCAGATATTGGTTTTAGGGTACTACAAAACAACACCTGTTTTAATGAATTCTATCGAAATGTTACTTTAACAGATATGTGCTGTTGATGTGTAAATACAGTCATAATACATGTGTTTTAAAGCCAGAGGATTGGTTCAGTTACCATGATACAACACAAACTGTACTACTGTAATTCGTCTGTGACAGTGAATACATCACCTGTAGTTACATTGTTGTTACATGATATACATGCCTTTACCTAATACACTGATAACGTACATGACTTAAGAGCAGACATCAAAACAATTATGCTAATGCATTTCAAAAGGAAAGTCTTTTTCCAGATGTGGCAACTTTAAAGGATCTAAATATGAACTTCTGTAAAATTCAGTTTGTGCTTGACAAAAAGAATTTCACATTAATCAGTTTAGTTTACATCTTTAGCATTTTAATTGTGCAGGAATTCCCCTGTAAGGAATATAAAGTTTGATTTTGAACTAATGTGATTATCAGTATAATTATTTATACTAAATAGAGTGCAAATCCATGGATTTCAACAATAGAAATAATAAAAAAAAGTTTGGCAAAATATGGTGAAAAACAAAGTGATGTATATTTAGTTCTGAGCAAATAAATTTAGGCACCTAAGCACACTTTTAAAACCATTTATCTTGGAATTAAATGTGTTTTGCTTGTACACAGTATATCATTAGAATCAGAGTAAACACCAAATACAATAAAAAGTCACATGAGTTTCCTTTTTGAATAAAGTCATTCTTGTGAGCTAGTTTGAAGGAAAACATTCTATGTTTGGCATAGAATTGTGTTGCCTTTTTAAAATAATCCTGCCTAGTTAGACTTATATGTTAAATATCCTTCTATTACAACATGCTATTAAAATAAAAAATTATTTTTTTGATAAATATTCACAGCTTCATTTGAGATGTTTGACACACAGTTGTTGCCATTATTTTTGAGGTTGGTGTATGATGCCACATATTTGAGCAGGAGGTTGTATTGTTCTGTGGAAAAAATATAAGGCAGTGCAGCTTTTTGGTGTAATTTTCAGTCACAGGATTAAAAAGAAACTACTGTTAAACCACACAGGTTTCCTGTCAATAAAAGGAAAGAGTTGGGAAACCTGGGCAACCTTGGCTGTGCCCAACTAGTTGAATAAAACTTCATTCTTATATGACTTTCTTGATTTTCCCTGAGCTCATGAGGTCATGAGGATGAAATCATGAGGATGGCAAGATGCCAGTCATGGAGTCCATGTGCAACAGATCAGCAAAAATCAAGGAAAGGAGATAAGACAGGGCGTTAAATTCCACTACTTGGATACAGAGCAAATGGCAAGACTTGTTATTTCAGACTAAATATAACTGATGTAGAGCAGAGACGCCACATATCTGTGTTTTGTTGCAGTAGATGAGTTATTGTAGTGTTCAGATGTCTTCACTGACCATCAGATCCGATTATCAGATTGGTGAAGAGAGCAATTGAGCTATACAATCTTGACTTTACAAGCTAACTTGCAGGCAGCTCAGTTGAAATTACTTGAAGTCAGCTAGTCTCAAGACTCAAGTACAGTGGATAGCATGTGCTTCCTCTCTGATCATACAATCCCACATTTTATTTAACAAATGTTATTTCAGTTGCCTGTTGTGTTTCAGAATGACTGTAATTTTGGAAATCAAAGTAGTTGAATGAGAATTTGTCTGTCCATCTTTTGCTTTTGTTTTCTGATTCTCATCTAGGTAAGGGGTGCTCTGGTAATGAATGTGTTAAGCACCATAATTGCAGGATTAGCCACCATCCTGCTTTCCCTGGATTTGATGATAGTACCACTGTTAAGTGATTGCATATATGGTTCTAGAGACCCTGATTGCATCTCTGAGGTAAGGTTTTTGGTTTTTTTGTAACATGACAATCAGTTGTGCACTGCATGCTTTTATTATTACACATCTGTGTGTGCCAAAAGTATGTGAACCTTTGCTTTCAGCATCTGGAACAGCTTCACCTCTGTTATGTTGGTGGGTTTCCTCTCATCAACTGCTTGCTTCAAGTCCTTCCACAACATTTCTATAGGATTAAGGTCAGGACTTTGACTTGGCCATACCAAACATCAACTTATTCTTCTTTATCTATTCTTTGGTAGAACGACTTATGTGGTTAGGATTGTTGTCTTGCTGCGTGACCCATGTTTTCCGAAGTTTCAGCTCACAGACAGCTGTCCTGACAGCCTTTCCTCTACAATTTGCTGGCATAATTCAGAGTTCTTTGTTCCATCAGTGATAGCAAGCCATCCTGGCCCAAATGCAGCAAAATAGACCTGAACCATGATACTACCATCACCATGTTTCACAGATGGGATAAGGATTTTATGCTTAATGCAGTGTTGTTCTTTCTCCAAATATAACTCCTCTCATTTAAACCAAAAAGATATATTTTGGTTTTATCTATCCACAATACATTCTTCCAATAGCCTTCTGGCTTGTCAGTGTAATCTTTAGCAAACTGCAGATGAGCAACAATGTTCTTTTTGGAGAGCAGTGGCTTTCTCCTTGCAGCCCTGCCATGCATACCATTTTGTTCTGTGTTCTCCTGATAGTGGACATTAAAAATAGCCACTGTGAGACAGGCTTTTAGATGCTTAGAAGTTACCCTGACTTCCTTAGTGACCTCGCAGACTATTACACACCTTGCTCTTGGTGTGATCTTTGTTGAACGACCACTCCTGGGGAGCGTAACAGTGGTCTTGAATTTCCTCCATTCGTACACAGTCTGTCTGACTGTGGATTTGGAGTCCAAACTCTTTAGAGATGGTTTTGTAACCTTTTCCAGCCTGATGAGCATCAACAACTCTTCTTCTGAGGTCCTCAGAAATCTCCTTTGTTCGTGCCATGATACACTTCCACAACCATGTGTTCTGAAGATCAGACTGTGACAGATCCCTGTTCTCTTAATAAAACAGAGTGGTCACTCACACCTAATTGCCATCCCACTGACTCTAATTTCACCTTCAAATTATCTGGTAATCCTAAAGGTTCACATCCTTTTGCCACTCACAGATATTTAATACTGGATCATTTTCTTCAATACATAAATGACCAAGTCTAAAATTTTTGTCTCATTTGTTTCATTTGGTTCTCTTTATCTACTGTTAGGACTTGTGTGAAAATCTAATGAAGTTTTAGGTCAATTTTTATTTTTTATTATTTTTTTTTTTTGCAGAAATATAATAATAAAGGATTCATAAACTGGTATGAACTGTTATCGCTGTTGTCGGAACCAAACCTTGTATATCCAAAATGACATATATGAGAAAGAAAAAACACACTTTCCTTTTAATGTAGGAAAAGTATGAAACCAGACTTTTTTTCTAAATGACTTTGAGCCATTTCTTTTGGTCTATTCATCACGGAACTTGCACACTATGCAATAGGCATTTTCAAATTATGTCCAAAACTGAAAAACAATAAAAATACAGATATAAGGTTTTGTTCCAATAGCAGCAAATGTGTGTGTTTATACCCTTTTTGCTTTTTACCTGTTGCTAAAAAATACATTTGCCATTTTGTTGAATGAAAGGTGATTTCTTTTTTTCAAAAAAAATTAAATTGTTAATGTTAATCTTGTTAATCAACCAACTAGCATTTGTTTTTGTGGCTATTCACATGGCTTTGGAAACTGCATAGTTCATAAACATTAAAAAGAACCAGATTATGATGAAATTAACTTCTTTTTTATTTTTTTAGGGTCTGACCATGAGCGTTCTTGTAGTGCTGTTGATTTTTTCCATAGTGCAGTTCTTCATCTCCATCTTCGTCTCAACCTTTGCTTGTAAAGCCACCTGCAGCGCTGAACCTTCTGTGGGTATCAGAATTAATAAAGACAATTTTAGAGATGCAATAAAATACCCAATGGGAGTATTTCCTTTTTATTGTTGTTTCTGAGGTTTTGTTGTTTACACTGCCCCCCTTTAACCATAAGATGACTGTCAGTGAACATGGTTTACACGTTTGCTATCTGCTGTAATGACCTTGTAAAGTGTCTCGTCCTATATGAACTATGCAGCTTATGAATCTCTGTATGTCTGTAGGTGAACATCACTGTGGTTTCAAACCAAGCAGGATGTCCTCCTTACACAAGTGAACAGGTACTAATATGTAAAATTAGCCTTGGAGTCTAAGAGTTAATACTGTAAAGTTACATTTAAATATGTTACAGTTCTGTATAGTATAATTACAGCCTTTTGGTAGCAACTAAGCTGCCACTAATTTGCTATATAAAGTTTACAGTCTACAGCTTTTACAATGTGTACATACTCTTTGTTTTACAGTATCCACTGAATGCAGTCAACGGTGCCACCATGAACAATCCACCTGTGGAAAGTCCTCCAGCATACAGTGAGATAAAAGGCCAAACAGATAACTGAGACTAAAAATCTCCAGATGAAACATCACAACAACACTATATATGCACTGCTACTGTAGAACTATACAGTGTTATATATGTTTTATTTATTATCAGAATATATGCTACGTTGCTTATTTTTGTTTTGCAGCCTTTGATGTTATTTATATGATGTTTGTTGTAGGACACTGTATGACATTCACAACATTTAAGAATGGTGAAACTGGTTAGCTTTAGATTAAATACTGTAAAAAGGTTAAAACAAAATCAATTAATGTTTCTTTTATATAAATTACTGTATGTCCAAACCTACATTAATGTATGTAATATAATTGATAATGTGTTAACATGTAAAATCCATATTCATTATTGGTTGTAAACATTTCGAAACATAATTAATAATGATGAGTTTCAACTTTAGTCCAGGTACTGCTAAGAAGTCAATAACTGATGAATGTATAGCTTCGACATACAGTTTGCAAGCATAATCTTATATAATCCTATAATCTTCTTACTAATTCTGAACAGTTACCTACTTTATACAATTAAAAATGTCTAAAACTAATGAATCCTTTTAACTTTACTCATGAGTTTCCTCAATATTTAGCCATAACACATATTTACTGTCACTTTATTAGACACATGTAACTTGCTGGAACACACTGTGGCAGTAGCAGTGACACTGAGGTATGTAGAACCACAACAACACTGTTGTGTATTATCTTGTCTCACATGTCTGTGAAATATCCCCTGGTATTCAGGGGCTCCCATGTTGGCTGGCTAGTTTAAATGCCACCACACACTAGATGTGCCGCATCACATTTCACAGCATCCAAAAATTTGAAACCACTGATTTAAAGAAGGTATGAACACCGTTGCGTGCCAACGCTTGATCTTGAGCACTATTCATCATCTCAGCACTCCATAGCATGCCACGTAGGCCTTTGCTACATTAAATTAAAGCCATATTGAGATCACAGAAAGTCACAGTACATCACATTTGGCTTTCATTTTACACAGACAAAGCAGTTCTTTTAGATAATCAGGTTTTCTCAGCTAACGTTACTATCCTAGACTTTTTCAGCTTTTAACTTTCAGCTTAAAAACAGCCAGTTTGTGAAAAGGTAGTAACCTGATACCAAGTGTGTAAGTGAAGTTGAGCACTTTATTTCATTAAATTTATACACAGAATAATAGTTAACTGGCTCACCCTGCCGGTGAGCAGCACTATCCTACGTGACGCTATGTGACACTATACAACGCTGCACATCTGGCACGATTCTTATGCTTACACAGCAGTGTCACAAAACTCTGTAGATGCGTACAAACCTGAAGTGAACATGTTTGCATTTATAGTTAGCAATTTTGTCATTGCAATATTCTCTATTATATGACAGAGTTCTCAAACAGGCACCTGTAGAGGTGAACCTGCTCTTTTTGAAAGAAGTGCTGCTAATGAGCTCTAATGGACAGCATAACGACAAAATCAGGGACCCCCAGATTTTGAGACATCAGGGGTTCCACGAGGTTAACCAAAACCCCCCGTATTAAGCACCTTGAGAACTGAACACTTATTGCAACACCACACATGCACACTACCATATCAGTGTCACTGCTGTTCTGAGACAGCACGCTGCTGTACACTAGTTGTTAATCATAAACATTTGTACATTTTCAAATTCTGATGGACAAATAAGATGTTAATATATTTCCAAATATGAATGCACACATAGGAAACTAACTGACTGAACTGACATTTGTAACTATTTGTTAATTTTGAAATTTTTATAAACTAATGATTTGTTCATGACTAATAATTATTAGTTAATACTATGTTAAAGTTCTAAAGTGTTATGGGTGTTTGCTGATGTATTTCTATCACAGTGACATTAGAGTGCTTTACAAACTTTTAAACAACCATTTTTAAGCCTTCCTCCATTCATTCATATTAGAAAAAACATACTTTGAATCATTGCTACATTAAAACTGTTTACAAGCCCACCTCTCATAATCAGACTGAACATTCTGGAGTCAGTTCTGATGTCTCAAAAACTGTAGAATGAAAAGCAGACAAAACCACCAGAAAAATTAGAAGAAAATTTAAGAATATTTATATAAATTGAATAAGAAGAGTTATGTGCAGTCAGTAATTAAACCTCAAAAAGAGAACTAGTTGCCCACACCTCACAGGTTTTGTCATAGTTAGAATCAAGGCCAAAACTCGGTTCAGTAAGTGCAAGTTCATAGAAAAGTCAAACTTACCGTATAAGCATACTGGAATTTACATTTAAGCCTAAAAATAAGGTTTCCAAATTAGTGAACTTCTGTCTTCTAGAGCGAACAAGCTGAATATATGTATATGACCAAAATACTCTCTTTTTGTGGCACCCCCTTTGTGTATACCAGAAGACACCACCCCCTGATTTACACTTGGAGCAAAGGGGAGCTCAGTCCACAAGAAACTCACAAACGCAGGTTTAGAAAAATACAAAAATACAATCTTTATTAAATGTGCTTGAGGCCCCACAACCACATTTTGGAGTATTAAAAATAAATAAGAATGACAATAAAAGGTTCACAGCACACACACACACACACACACACACACACACACACACACACACCATTCCAAATATAATGTGCTGCAAATGTCTGCCACTTTAGTGAATACAGCACAATTACCCTCACAATTATCAGTTAGACACCAAACTCCCCTTACTTGAGCCAACCTAAACTGCAGTAAACATAGAAAGTAAATTTAAAAACATAGCAAACATATCTAGCCAGTGGCTCACAATACACTAAATACTCACTTACACATGCACTATACAGCCAACAGGCTAGAGGGAAGCTTAAACCCTAAAATACTCTAAAAATACTTTTTTAAAAATTCAAAAGCTTTTAGAACAGTTTTGATAGAACAGCATCTGACACAGGATATAAGCTCTAGCAATCTATGAAAATACCCACAAGAAAAGTACCTTGCATTTTTAACATTAACCCCATGTGAGGCACACAAATAGGCAAACAAGTGAATTTCTCACCAAATATTAAGAATGTGAGTAAGGCAGAATGTATCAAATTCTCAGACACAACTTGCTAACATGACTCAGAAAAATGTACTTATATCTAAAACAAATGATCATTCTGCATAGCTGCATATTCCACGTAAACATACCTATTAGCAGCAAATAAACTAACAGCAGCGATTAAAAGCAGCAATAAGGCTCCACAAAGCAGCCGTGTTACTTAGCTAGATACAAGTGAAAATAACTAAATATCAAGCAACTGACTAAAACAGGCAAATCTGCACAGTACAGATTCAAAACAAACCTGGTGCAGTGTTAGGGCTGATGATGTAAATCAGAAGCTATACTTTGTGTTTACTCCATCTAAAATAGCCATGCTACTTAGCTGGATGCTAAGACAACACAAACAAACATCAAATTACTGGCCAAAGCCGAGCAAACAGAAACCATAACAACACAGCTGGTTCACTCGGCAGCACATCTTATTGTATTTAGTCACACCAGACAAGTTAAAATCTACACCACCGCTGCCGTCGCCACTCGCACTAGCTTAGCTCAGCTCTAAGGCCTCTCATTGGCCCCCGCTCGCCTGTACCGCGCTCTAGCAGAAAAGAAACACACCTTAATCACTGAATACAGGTATTACAGAAAAGACAAAGTAGGCAACATACAACCAAACATAACCTTATGCAGCCAGTGCTGGATAAGGAGCACCAGCATCAGGAAGCGCTGCTATAAATACACCTGCTCCCCTGCTAGCTTAGCCTAGAAGCAATGAAACAAAACTACTCCCTGGACCCTAAGGTGTCTGTACATACGCCTGCTCTTAATACCCCAGCTGGCTCAGTACGTGTCTGCTCCCATACTAATGAATGACATACACCCACAAAAAGCCCCTGGACTACCCAGGCTACATGCCTTTATTTGTTTCTTTAATGTTAACGGCCTTTCCAGGAAAAGCCACTGGAAGAACCCCCCACACACAGACACACATTTTCTTTGGAAAACTGGCCATGAGCCACTCCTCACTGAGGATGCAGGATGCAGTAACCAAAGCCAGCAGAGTTTTCTTATCAGCTCACACTGCCTTCATAGATTACAAGCACACCCCTTTCCTGGATTCTGCATTTCTACAAGAACACGAAGCTGTTTTGCAAGATCAAATCTGAAATTTACCATGCTAACAACTACATCTTCTACATTAATTTAGATTTCAATAAATGTTAATAAGCAGATATGTGGATTAAAAGAATTTGGACTTTTTTTTTAGCATAGAAAAACAGCAAGCAAAACCATTTTACCTGTAGCACTTTTGGTTTTCATTTAGAAAAGGCAGGACCTGGGTTTGTAGATAGAGGTCTGTTGTCAAATAAAACAATAATCTTTCACATACCTTCTGTTTATAAATATTTCAGGTAATACATATTTTAGTTATTAGAAAAGTCCTCTAAATTGACACAACCACAGCGAGAATTCCATGTTGCTTGAAGCAAACAAGCTTTACAGGCTATATACACACAGGTATGTGCAAATAAATCTGATTAGTGGAAAAAAGGCTCTTAGAAGTTAGAACAAATTTCACAAGCACATTGCATTTGAACTTGTTTAAGTACACGAACAATTAGTATTACATTTCACCCACAGACTGTGCTCCACTTTTCTCTACATAAAGTTGCATCGATCTGAAGATCGAACTATTGATTTGATGTAAGATGTAGATACTCCTCATTTCTAGCATTTCAATAGCATTTTCCTTCACTCCTCTTCATAAACATTTTAAAGCCCAAAATTTTATATGAATGAAGCAAATGCAGTACAAACATTACTAACTGGATACTTAGGGGAGTAAAAGGTGATTAAATGTATGATCACTAATATTATAATTTTTTGACAATCAAAGTAGTGCAGTCGGCTTCTTCTTGTACATCGAGCTTTAAACTGAGATGATAACTTACACCCAGAGACGTGTAGAGTACCACAAATACTTATATTTTTGTGAAAATGGCTTTGATGCTTGGCTGCACTCCTCTGTCCACCATTCCGAGTCACTGGGGTCTGCTGAAGGGCAGATCCTAGCAAATAAAAGGACCTACCTGAGAGGAGTTGTGTGTGTGAGACTTTTAGGTCGCTAGCAGTGTTGTTCTAGGTTGTGCTACTTGATGGTTTTAAAAATGTAGCCAGTAAATGGTTTAGTCTCACTTTGTTGATCCCTCTCTTGTTCTTGCTCTCCCTGTTTTCTCGCTCCAGCGCAACGTGTAGACAGGCAAGTTTGTGGATGCCTATACAGAAATAATAGATATTTCATTGTTTTGAAATAACTACCTGCTATATTTTAGGCTAGGATTAGACCTGGTTAGTCAGGCCAGCTGTTGTTTTATAGTTTTCATTTCATTGGCACCGTCCTCAGTCCATTTTTGCTGTTGGCTGGATAGTCCATGTCAGTATTCATACTAAATCAGTGTTTAGGTGATTCTTACCTCCACACTCATCCTATGTATTGTTGTAATTAGTAGCCCATTGTATAACTACATCTTTCTTGCTCCTTTCTTTTGTAAATACTGTTCTTTGATATGTGGTACCACTTTGTATGATACAACTTTGTAAAGTGGGAAGTAAAGTAAAAAAGCATTGACTGAAATTGCAACTACTGTTGTCCGTGTCCTTCCCTTCCGTCTGCCATCACATACCACATGTTACATCCTCTCTACCCCTAGCTACATTTGAGAGGAATGTAAGAAATGTAATGTTACTTCAGTGAAATAATGACCTTAGCAAAATTACAAGCACATTTACAAAAACACTATGAGTACATTGTAAAAAATGATTCACTGTTTCAACTTAAAAAAGTAAGCTGGTTGCCTTAAAAATTCACTGAATTTTCAAATAATTAGTTGACAGAATGTAAAACACAGATTGCTGTTCCATTACCTCACTATTAGAAGTTCAATTCACTTAAATTTTAAGACAACCTGGATATTTACTGTTTAAGTTAAAACACAATCATGTTTTACAGTGTAGATCGTTGAAGTACACAAACCCATCTTTCAGCATAACAACTAATCTGATCTTTTTGGTCTGAAATAAATGCTACAGCTTTACAGTGAGATGTGTGAGCAGTAGTACAGCCATGCAGGAGCTGAACCAACAAAACAGAATGAAACTAAAAAAAAGTTCATTTCTTACAGAAAATGCAGAGTGATTCCATAGCTTTAGCAATTCCCAGGTATTTTTAAAGTGTTACTAAATGGTTGCTATGGTGTTCCAGGTGTTTGGAAGAGGTTTAGGTGATGGGCTATCCAAAAGGGATTTTTTCTTAAATATGGCATTTTCTGTACATTTTAGTGTGCAATTTGTTTTATATTTAGGTTATTCGTTAAGTTTAACACATAGGGAAAATGTATATGCCATGCATCCCACCAGCTCTGACATTATGAAAGACTCCATTTTCCAGAATTCTTTAGGAGATCACATGACCAATGAACCTCCAGAATCCACCAATCACCA